TTTGACTGCAGGTATTGTGGTTAATGCAGTGACATGAATCCTTGTAAAACGGTTTCAGTTTTGTTGCCAGAAAAAGGGGGAAAACCCCTATTATTATCATTGCTAATTTTACTTTAAATTCCTAGCAAAATATTTACGAAGTAACAATAAAGTGAGAAAGAAAAAACTTAGCAATCAAATGAAGTGTTTTGTAGCCGTGTTGTGGTCACACGTCATTTTCTGACAGCACGTGCGTGATAAGCATTATAGATCTTATAGAAGTTGTAACGATATTAATGACTTATGGCAGGCTTATGTTGAGTGAACTGCAGTTGAATAACTTTTTAAGGAATCTATATACCTACTTGTAGTACATCGAGACACAAAAACAATGTCAAAGGGAAAATGAAAATTCCAAATATTCGTCACATCATAAAATGTACAATTGTATCATGGCATATGTCACGGCAACCCTACTGCTCGCCCACAATTAAAACCAAGTTTAATTCTCAAACATGACAAAGCCGCGTTAGCCACAGTCATTACGCATCCCGCTCACCAGCCTACCTCTTCCTTTCTATATTAAGGCTGCAGGTGCAGCAACACAGTATCCACAAAGTACGTTTTTTGACACTCACTCTATCCAATCTACCACACATTCAGATGCTCACAAAACCAAGCAAGCTAAACGACAATGAATTATATTCAAATACAAACACACGCAATTTTTTTTATTGGTTTCCAGTTAAATACAATTTACAATGCCTTAAATTCTCCTTCTTCCTCGGGGGCACCTGGAGACATGGCCAGGAAAGCGCTGTAATGGAATTAACCAAGATCAAGTTGTCCATCATGGCCAAAGCTGTTGGTGCCACCACAGACCTCCAACGCGTTCTACCCTCTGCCAGATCTCGCAGCTGCTGTACGGTAAACATGCGACCATCAAGATATGTCCTAACAAATTCCCAGCATCCGCTCTCCCACCATGACAAAGGCGTTTTGGGTTAGATCGCTTAAATATAAACGTTGTGCCGTTAAACCCGCCACCGCCCGACCCAGCCAATTAGTAATGTTTGTCACGTAAACAGAACGTGCCAACTATTGACTACTTCAGCACACCGGTGTGTTGAAGAATAAACCCAAACAACTTTACAATGTTAGTGTTTCGCGGGTGATTAAAAGCAGCTTCATCAGGCGGTTAGCCAGCCTACGTGTTAATCTGCCTTTTGGTTTACCTTGGTTGCTGGACTCATGGATACCACTCCAATGCCTGTTTCGGTCTAATGGACATCTGTCAAAAAAAGAGCTTTAAAGCTCATCGGATTCCTCCAGCATAAATATTCTGATTCTGCTCAGTCTTGCCCACCTACATTATACACATGTCCCAACCCCAAAAAGTTTTTTTTCCAATCTTGATTTGAAGCTTTCTCTCCCACCTGAAGGCGATTGCTTTGTGTGGCGATCGAAACGATCTATTATTTTTTCTACCTACGTGACTTTACCGAAAGAACCAAAGTGGATAGTAATTTTTTCCCCCGCTAGTCATATCCACAATTACCTGCCTCATTCTCTTCTGGACTTCTGCATTGCTTATCCAATTTTACCATGACATTCCGAGCATCCGTCTCCCGACACCTGTGCTCAAATTACAACTTCTTTTGAAGTTATTTTCGTTTAGGTGCCAGCTCTCTGACCCATACGCTAATAGAGAGAGCTCTCACGCCTCCAGTGAGCCTTTTCAAATACAGTAACTTACGACTTCTCTGCCCATGGTGATATGAAATTGATGCGCTTGTAAACACGACTTGGTCACAAGCTTAAAAAAAACGTCCCAACGTTATGTACGTTACACGTGCGGTCCTTTTTCTCATCCACTACTGGATGAGGGCCTGCCATATGTTGTCTATGTCCTGGGGGGGGGGGGGTTTGTCCATTCTCCACCATGCTGGTCAGTGCAGGTTGGTGAAGCAAGGGGAGTATAGAAGTGCTGGATCTGCAGCATTCATCTAGCGAGGAATAAGCAGGAAAGCGAGTGTGGAACAACGTGACGGATGGCAATGATGGGATTTAACTGCTCTGCCCTCTGTTGCAACGCAACCTCAAACACTTGTTTGGATTACTGCAATGCCTTGTTTGCTGGCGTTTCTAAAAGTGTTTTAAATAGACTACAATATAATATTTAAAAAAACTCTGCTGCCCAGGTTTTAACGAGATCTAAATCGGGTGACCATATTACTCCATTTCTTTCCTCCCTGCACTGGCTACCTGTAAGGAACAAAATCGACTTTAAGATTCCTCCACTGACATTCAAGGCCTCGGAATGATTTGCTCCTACATATCTCAAATATCTGCTCAAGTGTTATTATTCTACTCCAAAAACTAAGATTTGCTGATTCTGGCCTAAAGTCTATTCTATATTATTTAGGATTTATATATAATTTGAGTGTTTCCCCTTTATAGGGCGCGATATGAAAAACATAAATCAAGTTTTTTTCCAAAGAGAGGACTGCGTTGTTCTATGGGAGACAGAGCTTTTTGCAGCGAGGCACCGCGATTGTGGAATTCTCTTCCTCGGTCCATTAGGGAATATTGCGTCCGTTATTTTTTTTTAAATCACAACTTTGAGCTCTCCTGTTTTTTTTACGACAGGCTCTCTCAATAGTGTAAGGTTTACGTAAAGTGTTTAGCGGCCTTGTGCAAATTCCGCGATAGAACCAAGTTTATTCATTATTTTGTATGGTGGTCAACCATCCAAGCACTATCCAAGTTCAAACTTGCTTGGCTTCCCCAGATCTGATGAGATTGGGTTGTATTCCAGGTGACTTGGCCACATGCTTGTAATTGCCCAACGGGTTGTTGTAATTTTCAAGATTTCAGACCGCTACCCCTATGAACCATTAGCCAATCAAAGTGGCCTTTTCTGTGAGTTGGTGGAACCCAAGTACCACCCCTACCCAGGTGTACACTGTGACATTACAACTCCACGCACGTGGGCCATTCCCTATCATCGTCTTTACCGATTATGGTATAAATGTATGAAGGCTTCTACAAGGCTTGTGGATGCCCAACTGAACCAAGCAATGTGGACAGTAACCAGTGCCTTAAAATCAATGCCTACCCAACTGCTTCCCGTGCTGTCTCACACCATGTCCGCAGGGAGCCTCAAAGCCTCAACTGGGCACGCACGGATGATCGTGAAGCCCGAGCTGCCGACAGTACAAGCGAATATTCTTAGTTTTTTCGGTAAAGTCATGTTGAAGAGAAACAACAACGTGACTTTACCGTGACTTTACCGAAAAAACTAAGAATATGAATTACTGCAGTCACGAAAGCTTTAAATCAAAAGTACAAGCGAAGTCGCAGAACCCGTCAAGAGCTCACCTAAATCCCGGAAACAATTTTTGGTCGCGAGCGAAGGCTCGTGAAATCGCCGCGTTCAACGACCCCCGTGGAATGTTGACGAGCAGATCGCGTCCGAAATGGGCACCTACAAAAGGAAACGAATCGTTTCCGACACCACGCGCAAAAAAAACCGCCTCCTCAATGCACCGCACTCAAGCGCGTTGAGTACGTCACATGGGCACTGGCGCCCACCTCGCGCACAAATGGTAAACGAAGACGAGCCCCCAATTACGACCGTGGCTCCACGCCGCACCGCATACCATGAACCGTATGCTATATCGCTACCCCCACGCCGTGAAGGTACTCCACATTCTACTCCAGGCAATAGGCCAATCGTGTCCAGAAACCGTTACTGGGCCTCTACGTTCAGCCTGGAAAAATAAATACCGCACGGACGGCTAGGTTATACAACGGTTGCCGCTTATCATTTACTTGCGCGTGAAGATACGAGCGTGTCGCTACCTAGCCGCCAGTCATCTTAGTTCGATAACACTTGTCTGTCCTCTGACCTCCTGCCAGTGAGCCTTCAACACTTAAAGATACTTTAATAATACGCCCATAATGTAACGTAGCCTTAGTCTCGTCATTTGGTCATTTTCTGCGTCTAATTGACTCAAAGTCAACTATTTAGTCCACCCTTGGCTATTAAATGTTAATGTGGGGGGTGCCCAATTCAAAATCAGTTAACCGAGTAAATATTTTTAGTATACATCACCAAGTATAATTTTTGGTCTCTGCAATAACACTAACATATCTTATAGTCTGCATCTTCTTGCTTTGGTATTTGGTGGGTGGTCGTAGCCATTGTTACACTTGATGTTTGTTCATAGTCAACGTTAACCCAAAATAAATTTTAAAAATTGACAAATATTTCCATCACTAATTTCACTGACACAATCGAAAGGGGGCTGTGGCCTAACACATTCATCTCACCGTAGTAGTAATAATAATAATAATAAAAATCCCTGTTTTGAAGGTGTTCTTGAAAAGTCAATGGCACGAGGGTAGCCTAGTGGTCAGGAGAGCCTTGCAAGGGGGTCAAAGGCTCCATTTCTGCTGTAGCAGCTGGGTAGCTTGTCAAGGGAATTGACAAATCGCTTTCTCCGCTGTGATGGAGACAGGTGATAACCGCTCACTCATGTGTCCTATTGAAGCATCCGTAACACATCTCCCTTATGTTCCACTCCTCTGTCAAGTCAATGTTTTCAGTCTTTCTTTAAACCCTAAAGCATTGAGACCAATAAGGAACTTTTCCGCCTTATCAGTTCCCATCTTTGAAATCGAATTTCCGCACCTCCTGAAACAGTACAACGCGAAGCAGTCACCTGGGACTATAATCACAGTGGTTTGCATTCCATTCCCATAGAGATTGTATCTGATTTCTCTGGCTACTCTTCTCTCCATTAGTTGGCTGCTGCATTGTGTCTGTGTCAATATCATTAGGCCACAAATACTTTGCACCCAGCAAATCAAATGTGTCACTGGCCCCAATTCAGTTTGGGGGGGGGGAGGGGGAACCAACCTGCATCGATCCATCTTTCTCAATGTGTCTACCAGCCATGAGGCACTGGTCCCTCCATCCACTATATAACGTGCCATGTCAATTAAACCTATTTTTATTCCTTTGGTGTCAAGCCCTCTTCCCTCATGTGGGTTTTCCAGTGCTTCTTCAGTGAGTTGTCTTGCGCAAAGGCTTTGTCGCACATGCTGCACTGGTACGGCCTCTCGCCCGTGTGTATGCGGTTGTGCCGCGTCAGCGTCGCCGCGTGCGAGAACGCCTTGCCGCACACCTCACACCTGTACGGCTTCTCGCCCGTGTGCACCAGCTGGTGACGCTTCAAGTTGGGCGCGCGTGAGAAGGCCTGGTCGCACATGTTGCACTGGAACGGCTTCTCGCCCGTGTGCACGCGCCGGTGGTTCTTGAGGTGATCGGCCCGCAAGAAGGCCTGGCCGCACAACTCGCACTGGTGCAGCTTCTCGCCCGTGTGCAACCGCTCGTGATCCTTCAGCTGAGCGGCGCTCCAGTAGGATCTGCTGCACATGCCGCACTGGTAGGGCTTCTGCCTTGCGTGAACGAGCGCGTGAAACTTCTGCAGGTGCGGGGACTGCTGCAATACGGATTCGCCCGCGTGCACCTTCGAGCGGTGCCCAATGCCTCCGTAGCCTCGCACCGCGTAGCTGTACGCGTAGTAACCATGCGGGTTACCCCCCGCGTGCATGCGCTGGTGGCGCTTGAGAGTGCTGCTCTGCGAGAAGCCAAGTCCGCACTGCTCGCATCGATGTGGCATCTCCGCATTCTCCAAGCCGTGTGTGCTGTTCTGCTGCCCGTCGCTCCAACTCACAGCACTTTGATGGACTGATGCGTCTTCCGGCAGTGGCAGGGTTGCGTGCTCCATAACGGAAACAATAGCTGCTTTCTTTCTCTTCGCTTCGATGGATGCCTCGTGCTGCAGCAGCGGTGAGGACAGGCCAGCCTCGGCTTCATTCGTGAGGTTTGCTTGCTCGGCATGCTGCAGTGGGAAAACGGCTTGAACATCCATTCCAAATGCTTCCTCCGGGGCCCTGTTATCTACTGGACACAAAGTGGAAACTGTGAAGTTGTCATCTCTGTATCAGCTGCTCACTATAATTTACATTCAATTAAAGTAGGCATTACGAGTTCTGTGTATTCAAAATTTAGTTTAGCAGCTGTCCACTGTTATACATCTCCTCTTCCTTCAATGTGTATTTTTCAGGGTCAGATGTGTTCTCTGTATGCTTTTTAACTTTCTTCTCATGTATGAATCGTGTGGTCTTTTTACCCCAGAGGATCCTGGCTAAGTTTTCACCGTAGGCAGCGACAATTGTGACGTGTTTCCCAAGTAAGTTATAAGAGTAAAAAAATTTTTAAAGGAAATTTGGACCATGACACCAGCTCACGATGCCCTGCTCCTTTCCGAATTGCATCACGGCATCTTTAGATTGAAAACTAATTTCTTTAGAACTCCTTTTTATGTTTAGTTTGTTGTCTTTCCCCCGCACCTCCGATTAGCGCGGTTGACTAGATACGGTGCGAAAGCAGTTCAACATACGTCAACTGTGCTGAAAAAGGGATGTATGTTATGCATCATCCACCCGCAGTAATGAACCAGGGTGGCCTGTCGCATTCAAACCGCGAACCTCTGCAACAAAAGGTTGTTGTTGCCGGGCTATGTCGCGCCTAAATATAAAGTGATGACAGAAAGAATCCTCATTACTACGAAAGAAAAATACACCACCGGGTCTCACCATCAACTTCCTCCTGCCAGATAGTTTCCATAACTCCGTCTCTCCAACTATTCGCAAGCTTGCTAAGAGTATAGAGGAAACGATCCAAAAGTCCTCCTGAAATTTCCAGCTGTCATCTACTCCCTAACAATAAAAAAATGCGAACACTGCAGCCTCTTCCTGCGATAAACCCGACCTGATTTTTCTCCCCTGCTCCAGAAGCACATGACAGTAATCATTTGTACAGAGGCCATTCGACCCGTGGTGTAAATTCCACAATTCTATAGTGGACTTTATATGTACGTTGAACTTCTTTTGCACCGTACGCAGCCAACTGTGCTAATCGGAGGTGCGGGGGACTTTTCATAAAGGGAACTTGAAAATGTAGTGAATATTCAAACAGGGAAAAGATATTACCACAGGTTTTCGTGGTTATACGTTATAGCTCTCCAATGTATTTTTGGGTGGTACCATGTGTTGTTCAGCATGTCTGGCGTTTCGTTTCAGGCGCTTCTAAAGCTCTCAGCATAGCGGAATGTGGGACATAATGCCGATTACGCAGTACAAATACGAAAAACATCAGAGAACTAGAGAATTTAATATTTTAATATTAGTTATTTAAACAAACAGCCATACCGTCAAATGATTCCACTTTAATGCTATGATTCATCTGGCCAGAGATGAAGCTGGACTCCGTGGGACGAGCATCTGATAAAAAGACAATCACAAACACAACACATCGGTAATTATTAACTCATGAATTAGGGGCAATGTGATTGCCAAGTGCGTTTGTATGTTAGATAATTATACCGCATTCTGAGAGATGTTCCTCTTCAGCTTTCATCGTAGCCTCAGGACCGTCCTCAGTGACAGGTAGAGTTGGGTCACCAGAGTAAATCCCAGTGTCGTCAATGCCTCCAAGCCTCCGCACAGAAAGCAGCAGTTCCCGGCTCAAGCCGCTGAACAGCGCGAGCAGCACGTCCACCAGGCCTCCCAGCGTCACGTCGCCAGGGGAGGAGGTGGCGCCGTCGTCCCAGCACGGCGTCCCAGCGTCTTGGTGCTCGGCGCCCCGCAGGGCCTTCACCACCTGCCGCAGCACGGCGTAGAAGCCGAAGGGCAGGCGGTCGCGCGCCGTGGCCAGCAGCTCGGCCCGCACGAGGCCGTCCCCGACGCAGGCGCGCAGGACCCCGTAGTCCCGGATGCCCAGCTCCGAGTCCATGGCCCGGGCCACCTCCGCGTTCACGCCCTGCGCCTCCAGCCACGCCGGGAAGTCCCCGCTTTGCTCCAGCACCGGGGTGGCCACCGCGCACGCCATGCTGATGGTACAGGATTCAAGCAGAGCGTGCACAGTACCAGACACAAAAACAGGGACAAGCATTGATTTGATGCTTCCTTGCCTGGAGAAATGCCACAAATTAGCATTTTTGACCAAGATATCAATAATGGGTTTCGTGCTATCCAGCTGTTGAATGTGTTTTCGAGTTGTATCGCGTGTTCAGCATGTTTTTCTCCATTTTTACTCCTCTTGATGAACAGAACAATTCAACACGTGGTACAACCCGAAGCCGCATCTAAGACCGGTATAGGACAAGCGTGAAAACCTACGCAGTAGGAAATCATACTTTCTAGTTTGATGCATTTTTCCCAACCCAAATACATTGTCCTACTCCCTGAACTGCCCTTATATTGTGATAAGTTCAAATTGAGTCGAGTTTATACCTTGAAAGCCACATGGTAGCACATCTCAAGCCACTGGAAATTTTCCAGAGCGCCGGTGAGACCGGAGTCGCTACATAAATCGTAGCCACAACGAAATAAAAAAAAACAGGTACTGTATATTCTTGGTTCTTTAGGTAAAGTCACGTAGAAGGGAAACAATAAAATAAAAAATATAAAACAATAAAATCCTCACGACGTTTCGACTGCAACACAGGCAATCGTCATCATCATCAGGTGTGAAAACCACAGCAAGAAAATTTGACATTTTTTTTCTTCAAATTTTCTTTTCTTTTCTGTATTATCGCGAAACTAAATCTGGCCTGGGGCTTGTCGTACGAGTGTATGAGCTGCCAAGAGCAAAACATAAAATCATATACCACAGAAACAAAAACGATTCTCACGTGAAGATGGAGTTCCAGATGTCACACGTCCGATGTCAATGTTCTTCGCAGCCGGGAACCAGCTAAAATGTTCACGCAGAAAGGAAACGTCTTTTTTTGTTTGTGTTTGTTAAAAAACAACAACAAAGTGTGATCGATACATCGTTCTTCGATTTAAAAATCATTGAAAGTCGGTGACACGCGTCCACACAGGCGCCTCGTGAAGAGCACGCGGAGCCCAATGAGAGGGGCCGGATGACACCTCGGTCCGAGACAAGTTATGGTTTGCCAAAAAGGTGATTTTTTTTGTGTGTGTGTGTGTCCTAGCATCAATCGCGACCCATAGAAATCCCACGTCAAAGATTCGCGGAATGTTACCATCATCATTGTTATTATCAAGCTGCCGTGTGCATTTTCTGCAGAAGACGTAAACGGATCTTATTCGGTGTAAGCCGACGCAGTCAGCAGACCCAAGCTAACCCCCCCCAACCCCACCTCTCTCTCTCTCAAAATGCAGAAAGACGAGAGGGTGGTTGTGGATGTGGTGGTGATTGTGGCGGATTAATCAAGCTCCTGCTCTAATGAACTCACCGTACCGTTACATATGTTCATATATAAAAAAACAGTACACAGAAATTATCAAAGCTATTTTTTGTTTGGTTTCAAAGAGACGGATAAACGCGGTATATCGTCTGCGATTGCTAACGCAAAATTAACGTTGAAAAATAAAACACAAACACGTGTGTGGGTGTTACTTTAACGAGACACACAAAAAAACACGGAACAGCCAAAAAAGCGAGACTTCGAATTGCTCTTTCGGTAATTGAATTAAAAGCAACTTGGCTTCGAAACGGGTGGTTTTGTTTTTCTTAAACATTTATTTCATTGTAACATTTTTAATGTTTAAGGCCGACTGTGACACGGGGTGCTTGGGGAGCGGTGGCCACGAACGCCGATGGACGCGGCTTCTCCGCTTAACCAGCGCCGCCGATTCGCACGGTTGAGGGACCGTGGTCATTTGTCGCAGATTTCCTTTTGCGTTTTCTCAAATCGAATACTGGTTACGGGTCCTGGCAGGGGACTAAACAAATACATTATCATCATGTCATACCTGTGAACACCCCCCCTCCCCCCTATATGAGTGCCCTACCTTATCACGGACCAATTCAAACCTTATTGGTTACCCCGTGCCCTTATACATCTCAACGTTCATCCTATACACTACACTATACATTATACACTACACTATAAACTACACTATATCATATCTGCCAAGCCCCTTATATCAGTGCCCTACCTTATGACAGACCAATTCCGACCTTATTGGTGACCCGTGCCCTTATAAATCTCAACATTCATCCTACAAAAGTCTCATTACTAGGGAGAAATACAAACAAATAAACACCTTTATTGCCGTATTGAAACGGATGTTCGCCGTATGGACCTGAAAACTACATTATCCTGTACAAGACTACGGGTAAACCGTATGGGTTGACAGGTATATCATGTTGATACAGTATATTATGTATTACAATTATTATTGCCATCATAAAATGAGCACCGTTTATTTATTCATAATATTACAAACATTTATTTAGTCTTAATAATGGCTATTTCTTTGGGTCTTTCGGTAAAGCCACGTGGATAGAAATATAATTTAAAAAAATATCACGATGTTTCGATCGCAACACAAGCAATCGTCATCAGATGGAAACAAATTATAGTGGGAGAGCTGCTGAGGCAGGATGTTATGTAGGTTTGAGATGGGTGTAGCCCAAGGGTAAGTGGGCGGGGCTAGAGATGAAATTTGCATGTCAATGTAAAATCGGAGAGCTGATATACCTCCACGATGACGAGGCTGTGGAGGTGGCAATTGCATTGTGAGAGATTAGCATGTCAATATAAGCGAACCACCGCAACGGTGGCTGTGCTAGTGAGACATTTAGCGGGTATGTAACTCAGAGAGTCGGAAATAACTGCTAACATCGGTAGGTAGGATGGAAACATCACAGTCAGTTATGACTCAAACTGGTTAATAACGTCTTTCCAATTATTGCTCAGTTTGTACCCATCTTCTCGGTTGAAATTGTGTCTGTGTTTATATATTTGGATGGCTTCATGAACAAATCCTTGTTGATAGCCAGTGGGTTTGCAGAGTACCTTCGTCTTGAAAAAATCTACTTCGTGTGTGCCCACAGCGTTGAAACAATGATCAGCCATGGCTGAGGTATTGGTCCTACCGTGTTTCAGATCTGCCTTATGTTCACGAACATGGTCCGAGACATGTCGCTTAGTTTCCCAAATGTAGCTACTGCTGCAGACACAGCTTAGTTTTTAGACACCGGAGTATTGCATGTCAGGGATCACATCCTCCATAGATGGGATCACATCACGAATGTTATGCACTGTGTTGAATCGAACCAGGATATTGTGTTTGCTCATGATTTTGAAAATATTTTTGGTAACCCCTGCTATGTATGGCAAGATGATGGTTTTGATTTGGTCCTCAGATGGTTCTTTCCCAACGGTTGGGTTGATGGCTTTACGGATTGTGTAGTCCGAATATCCATTCATCTTGAGGGCTTGGTGTACATGCTCCAGTTCACTAGCTAGGTGGTGATGGTCAGAAATACAATTAACTCTATGGTGTAGAGTTTTGATGAGGGAATTCTTCTGGGATGATGGTGGGAGTGAGGTTTTAGGTAGGCATCTGTATGGGTGGCTTTCCTGTAGACAGAGTGTCCCATTGAGCCATCTGGTCTCTTTTCAATTAACACATCCAAGAATGGTAACTTGCCATCTTTTTCCACCTCCATGGTGAATTTAATGGCTGGGTGTATGGAATTGATGTGGTTGAAGAATTGGCCCAGCGCTGGTAGGCCATGTGGCCAGATGACAAACGTGTCATCTACGTATCTCTTCCACAAGGAAGGACGTAGGGTGGATGCCTGGATGGCATCTGTCTCAAAATTTTCCATGAAAACATTGGCTACAACTGGGGATAAGGGTGAACCCATTGGGGTACCTTCAACTTGTTTGTAGAGTGTTCCATTCCAGGTGAAGTGTTGGTGAGGCAGGGTCTAACCAGGGCCGGTACATCAGCATTCAGTCCTTGTTGGACCAAATCTTCAATGATTGCAATGGTGTCAGGCACAGGAACTTTGGTAAACAAAGATACTACATCGAAACTGACAAGCAAATCACCTGGAGAGAGTGAGATGTCCTTACTTAGGGATACCAAGTGAGCTGAGTACAGCTGAGGTGGTCTTACCAGTGAATGGGTGTAGGGTCTCAGACAGAAATCGGGACAGTTTGTAGGTGGGTGAGTCAATGGTGGAGATGATAGGACGAAGGGGTATCCCTTCTTTATGGATTTTTGGTAAGCCATAAAATCTCGGTGGTCTAGCAGCAGGTTTTAAGGAAAGCCGCTTGGTTGGTTCGATAAAAGATGTCGAATCAGTGATGATATTTCATTAGACCTCCTTTGCCAGTACCAAAATGTAATAATAGGGTTTTTCCCCTTTTTTCTGGCAACAAAGCTGAAACCTTTTTACAAGGATTCATGTCTGCATTAACCACAATACCTGCAGTCAAAATGCAAACAAAAAACATACTATGATAATATATGCATTGTCCTTGAAACTGATTGGTCCACACCAAGGAACGGCTTTCTTTTAAGCCTTGACCCAATTGGTGCTCGACGCCTTTTGGCGTCATCTGGTCGAGCACCAATTGGGTCGAGGCTCAAAAGAAAGCCGTCCCTTGGTGTGGACCAATCAGTTTCAAGGACAATGCATATATTATCATAGTATTTTTTTGTTTGCATTTTGACTGCAGGTATTGTGGTTAATGCAGACATGAATCCTTGTAAAAAGGTTTCAGCTTTGTTGCCAGAAAAAAGGGGAAAAACCCTATTATTATAGTGATGATATTGTTGGTTTTCATAACCAGGCAGTTGGTGGGATCTCTATTGATTTTGGTATAGCTGCCATCATTAGGTAGGTCCTGAATTTTGTTATTGTATGTGAGTTTGTTCATGATGACAGTGACATTGCCCTTTTCGGCCTAGAGGATGACTATGTCATCTCTCTTTTTTAGTTGAGAAAGCTCAACATCCTGTTTCAGCAGCTCTCCCGCTATGTTTTTGTTTCAACTGATGACGATTGCTTGTGTTGCGATCGAAACGTCGTGATATTTTTCTTATCTATCTACGTGGCTTTACCGAAAGACCCAAAGAATATGAATTCCTGTAGTCATGAAAGCTTTAAGTCAAGATTTAATCATGGCTGTTGATGTAGAGCAACTGTCACATTAAATTTATTTATTGAATAATTTTAGACGTGTTCTGCTCAAGCCCACTTACTTTCCGCACATCAATATACGATGCATCTAAACTTGCCTCTGTATTCTCTGATGCACGTGTACCTGATGAAAGGCATGCGGCGGTGGCGAGATGTTAACTACCTCACCTGGTGTATAGCAGATCGTGGGTTTGTTCCCAACCCTGATGCCTGTATATTTGGAGTTTGCGGTCTCTCTCTCTCTCCCCGTGTCCACGTGGATTTTTCTCTGGGTCTTCCGGTTTTCACCCTCCATGTAAATTTCCACATAAGCAACTTCGTCAGAGCTATCATTTGTGGTCAGGTCGCTTCTGAAAATAGAGCTACACAGCTCAGTGGGCCTTACCTGATCAAATAAAATAAAAAGCTTAGTTTTAAGTCGTATTGCAAGACGCCTCTGCAATGAAAAAAATATGGTAATATTCTTTACACGTTTGGGACAGGTACCAAACACTGACTTACCATCTGTCCTTCGTCAGGAGCTGAGACCCTTTGAATTCATGGCCAGAAGATAGTGCTTTATTATACATTATGTTTTGCAGCCATGTCAACGGGAGGGCTTCATGTGATCCACAAAAGCAGGTCATTGGTTGGTTCCAACACGAATGGTTTAAGTAAGGAAGCCATGTAGTTATGAATGTGTCTTATGCGTGAGGGGATCAGTGTAAGTACAGGGACTGCTTCACTTATGAACATTCGACTGAGAGATACGAATAAACCCGATCGGTATGTCCAGTTACCCGTTCGGACCGAGAGTCGTAAGTTCAACCGCCGCACAATAAATGGCGGTGGTTGCATCTACATCTGCAGAATATGTAGAACCAGTGGCATCTACATCTACAGGACATTAAACAACTTTTAAAGTCATTCTCCGTGTTTAGTGTACATGCCGTACATTTTTGGAATCGACGGGAATAAAGTTGGACTTACGAGCAAATCGACTTACAGACCTCTGGATCCTAACTCGTTCGTAAGTAGAGCAGTCCCTGTATGCATGTTGAACTTTGTGCTATCCCATGTGTTGCACTGGTTTCTTCAGGAACCCCGGTTTTCTCTCCAATGCAGATTATAAGTAACCATTATAAAACTGATACGAAACTTCTAACGCAGGATACTCCTTCAAAAGGGACTTGTATGTACGTTGAACTTCTTTCGCACCGCACGTAGCCAACCGTGCTAATTGGAGGTGTGGGGGAAGGAAACGAAACTAAACACAAAACGTTCTAAAGAAATTAGTTTTCAATTTAGATTTTAAAGTACAAAACTCCAGTGGCCTCCGAATATCGGACGGAAGAGCATTCCAGACGGCCACAGAAGCGCACTTGAAAGCACGCGATGCAGCAACCGTCTTTGTTCCGGGGGTGCCTGGAGGCTGAGGGCAATTAGAAAACATTGTTACAGTATTTTCTTGGCCTCAAAATCATGTGATGCGTATCGTGTGGTTGTGAGGTATCTTTTTGTGTTAAGTTAAAAAGGTGTTGGAACTGCTCGGAGTTTGAAAACGTGCATGTTGTTGGAAATTCAAAGTATTTTTTTATTTATATAGGCTGGAAATGTGTGGGTCGTTGTCTTCGCTACGCGTGGTCTCTAATTGTCTCTGTGATTAGCACCGTTGGCTACGTACGGTGTGAAACAAGTTCAACATTATACAAGAAACGTGTTTTTGAGAGCAATATTGCGCATCGTGTGTGTCTGTGGTGGTGGAGTGTCTGTCTGTGGTTGGTGGTGGTTGTGGTGATAATGTATGGTGGCTGGTGAAATGGGTGGGAATTATGGAGTTATGTTGTTGGCCCATATTTTGGAATATTTGTGACACGTTTGGGGATGTTCAGATTGTGAACTGTTGTGGAAAACATTAAAAAAAACCTGGAAAATATTGACGCTGATGCATCTTTTTGCCCACACCTCAAGTTCCTGTCTATTTATACCAGCGTATGTGTATTGAATATTTACAGTATTTACAAAGCAACTCACATTTCTCAGAGGCAATACACATGCGCCAATTCATCAAGATATTAACTTTAATCACAATATAGCACTCTCTATTGTCCACTTATATCCCAGCACAGTATCTAATATATTTGCATTGGTACCTGAGGTTTTATTTTATCAGACATTTCCTTACAACACTAATTCAATACGTAGATATTGGTAGCCAATACAGTACTACGATGCATAATATGTTTTGGGGTTAGCCAACGTACATAATGATCTAACCAAATGTGCATCATTAAGAACCCTCCACCACCAGACATAGCAATTTTGCTGTGACGGTTTCCACGTGAAGACGGAAGCTTGTGTTGCCTCCGAAACGTCGTGATTTAATTTAGTTTTCATTTATTTTATTTTACCTACGTGACTTTACCGGAAAAAACAAAGAGTATGAATCCTTGCAGTCACGAAAGCTTCAAATCTAGAATAGCCTAACAAAGCAACTGTCACGTGTACAGGGGCGGGGGGGGGTTGATGCGCCAATTATTGTTTCAGCTCACACCGGGTAAGTTGAAGAACAATCCTCACGAACAAAAAAAACTACAGAAATTGCAGTAAAACCTACGCTCGATCCGCGCGGGTTACGCTCTTGAAAACGCTCGCGAATGCAGAATTCGCAAATGCAGGAAACCTGGTTCCAATGGGAAAAACGGGGTTACGTTCCTGGTAAGAGCGAACATGGGGGAGGAAATGGTAAATGTTTAATAACAATTACTACAATAAATAATACCTTCTTAAGAACAATATATTTGTATTATTACTTTTGACGATGATGATTTGATGACGATGGAGGTGGTGGTGAGAAATTTAGGATGATGACTCCACGGGTGATGCAGCGATTTTTTTTATTTTAGCACTCAGGGGAGCATAAGCCGCGGCACTTTCCCCGCTTGCATTCGCGTTCTTTTGAATGGACCTCACGGTACACTCGTTTACACACCAAAATGTATAAATGAGTCGACTGTAAGTACGTATAAAGAAGTAACAAAAAACTAAATGCACAACAGCGAGTTTAGAACAGGATTTACTTAGAGACGGAGAGCAAAGCGGGCAGCCGAGGGGGCATGCCAAATCTTCTCGGACAGTTTCAAATGTTAATTTGTGCGCGCACCTCCTCGGTGTAGGTGGCCTAGCACTACGTACACCCGCGAATGCATTTAGCAACCCGCGAATATGCGACTATTGCGAACCCAGAATTCGCTATGCAACAACCCGCGAATATGCGAATGTTGCAAATCCAGAATTCGCGCATAGCGAGGTTTTTTTGTGTGTATATGTGTGTATATATATACACACACACACACACGACGTTTCATTCAAGACTCCGTCAAACATGATCAGGGTTCGCTATGTACGGTGCGAAAGAAGTTAAATGTAAATACGTACAAACAACATCAGGATAACATCCAGGAAGTCAGGAGTAACAATCAGGGAAGTCAGAACCGCTGACCGTATCACCTGGGTGTCATGACCTCACACGAACAACCAATCTGATTCATAATAGTTATTAGGTCAATATCTGATTTAAATAGTTACAAGATTAATGTTAGAAACTTGGTGGAAACATTGACCCAAAACCCAAGCGGATCTCATCTTAAAGACAAGTGTCCATATTTGTATTCCCTGGTGCTCCGATGCAAGTTTGTGGCTTCCTTCACGAGGAACGTTACGGTTGAGCAGATCAATATAGAACTCCAGTGATATCACTGCAACTTCACTACCACACACGTTAATTAATAAGTAAAATTCATTGATGTCATGAAAGCAATGTGAATATGCACTTGACCTCAAAGCCTTAGGACTGATTCTTCATATTCAGGTAAAACAGCCCCAGAAATATTAGACCTCCGTCCATCCCTCCAGCCATCAAAACTTTGTTTCAATAGTATAGTATAAAAAGTACTCATCGTGGAACACAGTCCCCCCCCCCTCTTCTCACAGAGGCCCTTAAAGAATGAGGTTGAGCAAAGGCTTTGTTACACACAGCACACTGGTATTTCTCCTCCATAACGCAAGAAGCGGTGAGCCTTGAGGTCGCTGATATCTGAGAAGGCTTCATCACAGACGCTGCACTGGTACGGCCTCCCACCCGTGTGTACGCGCTTGCATTGAATTAGCCGTCGCCGTGTGCGACAAGGCATTTAAGGATAACGTGCAGTTGAGGACAAAGAGAAAATGGGCAGGACTCGGTGACTGCCCAACGACCTCTGACCCCCCACCCCCTCTTCTCTTTCAGATCTCACTGCTTCGCTTTGAAATGCTGGCCCTGGTGCCGCTGGCAGTTGGTGCGCTGGGAGAACGCTTTGCCGCACACCTCGCACTTGTACGGCTTCTCTCCCGTGTGCACCATCTGGTGACGTTTGAGTGTGGTGGCGCGCGAAAAGGCCTGGCCGCACATCATGCACTCGTACAACCTCTCGGCCATGTGCACGCGTCGGTGGTCTTTCAGGTGATCGGCCCGCGAGAAGGCTTGCTCACAAACGTCGCACTGGTGCAGATTCTCGCCCTTTCGTATGCACTCATGATCCTCCAACTGAAAGGCACTCGTGTAGACTCTGCTGCAAATCCCGCACTGATAGGGCCTCCCCCTTTCATGATCAAACACGTGACAATTCCGCTGGGGATCCTGCAAGACGGACTTGTCCAATTGACGTAGGCACTGCTTGTCGGTCATGCGCATCTTCGAGTGGTGCTCGATGTCTCTGTAGCCCCGCGTCATTTGACACTGGTGGCGCTTCAGAGTGCCGCTATGTGAAAAGCTGCATCCGCATTGATCACAGAGATGCAGCATTTTTCCAGGCTCCGAACCATGTTTGCTGTTTGGCTGCTGCTCCACATTCAAGCTCACAGCACTCTGACAGGTTGATCTTCCATCGTGCAGCGGCAGGGGTGTGCAATCGGTACCAGTAACGGAATCTGCACTTTCTCTCTTCACTTTGGCAGTCGCCTCATGCTGCAGCGATGAAGATGCGTCAGGCTCGGCAGCCGTGGCGAGGCTCACTTGCTCGGGCTCCGGCGAGGTCACGCTTTGAATGGCGATTTCAAAAACCTCCTCAGGAACTCCGCTACTTGCTGAACAGAAACAAAGCAAACATTGTAAAGCTCCACTACCCATATTGAATGCGTATTAATTATATGGGGTACCTGCTAATTAAGGTGAATACAGGGATAATGCACGCAAATCTCATGTGCAAATGTGTGCTACTTTTCAGTTTAAAAGCATAACTTTTTTTTAAATGACAAAGCCAAATCTAAATTTTATTTTGTACTTATTTGATCCCACCTAAAACCATAAAATCCCCCTTCATCAATTTCACAGTCCTTGATTCCATCGATCAATCTCAACTGGTGTAATCTCCAATTCACTTGTTTGGCAACACTAAACCTTGTCATATCCAACTTATACATGTCGTGATTGTGTAGGTAGGTCAACGGATAATGCTATCTTGGAATACCATGTTAATCCTCACCATCACGGGCCTCCACTTTAATCCTCCGACTCATCTGGGTGGAGCCGAAGGTGGATTCTGTGGAAGGAGTATCTGAAAGAAATTAAAAATTCAGACACATCTAACACACACGTAAGAGATCATGTTAATAGCAACTGCATTAAGTGTGTTCACTTTTTTTTTACCACATTCTGAGACGTGTTCCTGCTCCACTTTCATCGCAATCTCAGGACTTCCATCATTGGCCGTTTGATTGAGGCCCTCAATGCAGGTCCCGGCAGCATCCATGACTCCCAGCCTCTGCACGGACAGCAGCAGCTCCCGGCTCAAGCCGCTCAACAGCGCGAGAAGCACCTCCACCAGGCCTCCCAGGGTCACGTCGCCAGGGGAGGAAGCGGCGGCGGCGTCCCAGCACGGCGTCCCAGCGTCGTGGTGCTCGGCGCCCCGCAGGGCCTTCACCACCTGCCGCAGCACGGCGTAGAAGCCGAAGGGCAGGCGGTCGCGCGCCGCGGCCAGCAGCTCGGCCCGCACGAGGCCGTCCCCGACGCAGGCGCGCAGGACCCCGTAGTCCCGGATGCCCAGCTCGGAGTCCATGGCCCGGGCCACCTCCGCGTTCACGCCCTGCGCCTCCAGCCATGCCGGGAAGTCTCCACTCGGCTCCAGCACCGGGGTGGCCACCGCGCACGCCATATCCTGGTGGGGTGTGGAGGACATTCGATAGACACAGCGCTCAGTGTTGTACACAACAGTTGATTCTAAAGCTGTCAGTTGGCTATGTATGGTGCGAAAGAAGTTCAACATTCATACATACACTTCCTCTTCGAAGAATTAAGGCCTCGAAATTCGGTTAAAGGTGCGGTCCTTAAATTTTCTCTTCAAGCCACTGCTAGCAGAAGGGCCTCCACTAGAGACAGCTCTGGGGAGCCACTCCAGAGGATGTTTGGTCTACTCCAATGGCCAGATGTCTTGGAAGAGATGGCAGTAACCACCCACACTGTGCCCCACCGCACGCGACCTACAGCATTTATAGAATAGCGGTGAACCCATTATATAAACGAAAGATTTTTTTTGACCGAATTCGCGAGCACAAATCAGATTTGAAACACGGCAGAACGAATTATTCTGCCGTAGTGATCACGATATAGTGTTCTCCGATACCAAGGTCCTTTGCAAACCCACAGGTTATCATCAGAGATTTGTCCACGAGGAAATTCAGATTTACAAACACAGACACAATTTCAACCGAGAAGATGGTTTCAAATTAAGCAATCATTGGAAACATGTGCTAAATCATACCAAACATTAAACTAATTTTCAATGGTACAGTATATTTATCCAAGTAGTGATATACCAAACTTTCACGGCAGCTTATTTCCCTTCAAAACAACGTTTGCATTGTCAAATTCCCCCCCCCCCCGTGTTAAGTGTTCTATCAGCACTTTATGCTAACTCCTTTATCAAAGCGTTTGGTTTCCTCCCACACAGCTTAAAGGACGCGACCTGGCTTGACTTTCTTAATTCCAACGCTGTCTTCGTGACAGCACAGTCCCTTCACCTGATGAAGGCCACTTGTGTTGTGGCCGAAACGTCGTGATTTTTGTTGTTTTATTTTTTACCTACGTGACTTTACCGAATAGAACCAAAGAGTAAAGAAACGATTTTTTTATTACCAGATAAGCCCCACTGAGCTGTATGGCTCTTTTTCAGAAGCGACCTGGCCACAAATGATAGCTCAACGTAGTGGCTTATCATCGTGTGGAAATGTGTATCGTGGCCGAAAACTCCAAAAAATCCACGCGACCACGGGGAAAAGAGAGAGAGACACGCAAACTTCAAATATACAACAGGCGTCGGGGTCGGCGATCGAACCCACGACCAACTGCTTACCAATTGAGGTAGTTAACATCCGGCCACCGTGGCACACAACAGAGACACACACACACAACACAGACACACACACAACAGAGACACACACACAACACAAAAACACACAACAGAGACACACACAACACACACATACACAACACAGACACACACAGACACAACAGAGACACACACACAGACAGACACACACCACACACACAACAGAGACACACAGACACACACCACACACACAACAGAGACACACACACAACAGAGACACACACACAGACACACACCTCACACATAACAGAGACACACACAACAGAGACACACACACACACCAGAGACACACACACACAGACACACACACAACAGAGACACACAACAGAGACACACACACACACACAACAGAGACACACACACACAACATAGACACACACAGACACACACCACACACACAACACAGACACACAGACAGACACACACACAACAGAGACACACACCAGAGACACACACACAACAGACACACAGACACACACCACACACACAACAGAGACACACACACACACAACAGAGACACACACAACAGAGACACACACAACAGAGACACACACACACAACAGAGACACACACATCAGACACACACACAACAGAGACACACAACAGACACACACAACACACACACACCAGAGACACACAACAGAGACACACACACAACACACACAACAAAGACACACACACAACACAGACACACACAACAGAGACACACACACACCAGAGACACGCAACACAGACACACACAACAGAGACACACAACACACACCAGAGACACACAACACAGACACACACAACAGAGACACACACACCACACAATAGAGACACACACAACACACAACAGACACACACACAACAGAGACACACACAACACACAACAGAGACACACACACACACAACAGAGACACACACACAGACACACAACACACAACAGAGACACACACAACAGAGACACACACAACAGAGACACACACACAACACACACCAGAGACACACAACACAGACACACACAACAGAGACAAACACACCACACAACAGAGACACACACAACACACAACAGAGACACACACACAACAGAGACACACACACAACAGACACACACAACAGAGACACACACAACACACAACAGAGACACACACACCAGAGACACACACACACCAGAGACACACAGACACACACAACAGAGACACACACACCACACAACAGAGACACACACACAACACACAAAAGATACACACACACAGACACACACACATGCTCGCCTTCTAGAGGAGTCTCCTTCAAGACAACATCGTTGCCGTGTGCCACCTACGGCCCGGCGATGTTCGAACCACAGCGAGCGAGGTGGTGGAGGTGATGGTGGTGGTGGTGGGGGGGTCTCCCACACGGAGAATTTACGAGAATCAAAGTGAAGGAACGAAAGAACGTCGCCGATTGTCACTCTCCGGCTAAAGCCGTCAGTGTAGGAAGAAGAAGAAGACTACGCGGGGCTAGGGGAGGTAGCAGCGGCGGGGAGCAGGGACTGCGGCGATTTTGCAAGATGAGACGTTGTTTATTTATTTTACCACGTGGGGATGTGGCTTGCGCACCGAGTCAGAGCTGTTAATCCATTTGTATCGGTGCCATTACCTTGTTACAGAGCAATTCAGACCTTATTGGTCACCCGGTGCCCCTCATGAATGTCAACGTTCATCCTATACAATACACTATACACTACATTATACACTACACTATACACTACACTATACCATACCTGTCAACCCACTCGTCAGGGCCCTATCTTATTACAGATCAATTCAGACCTCATTGGTCACCCGGTGCCCCTTATAAATGTCAACGTTCATCCTATACAATACACTATACACTACATTATACACTACACTATACACTACACTATACCATACCTGTCAACCCACTCGTCAGGGCCCTATTTTATTACATACCAATTCAGACCTTATTGATCACCCGGTGCCCCTCATGAATGTCAACGTTCATCCTATACAATACACTATACACTACATTATACACTACACTACATTATACACTACACTATACCATACCTGTCAACCCACTCGCCAGGGCCCTATCTTATTACAGAGCAATTCAGACCTTATTGATCACCCCGTGCCCCTTCTAAATCTCAACGTTCATCCTATACACTGCACTATAAACTACACTATACACTACGCGACATTATACACTACACTATACCTGTCAACCCACGTATCAGTGCCTACCTTATTACAGACAGTATTGGTCACCCCATGCCCCTTCTAAATCTCAACGTTCACCCTCCAAAGTCCCATCACAAGGGAGAAACACAAACAAATAGACAAAACACGTTTGCCGTAGTGAAACGACTGTGCACTAAAACTCAATTTCCCTGTACAACGAATACGGGATAAACCGTATGGGTTTACAGGTATGCTGAGTTATTAATTTAAGTGTAAAATCCGTGTTATATCTACGGGAAACTTTGTTTTGGCAGTATCACAAATTACGGGGGTAAATTCTGACTTTGCACTTTCTAAGCAATAAAACGGGTGTTTGAGATGTTCAAACACCTAATGGATACCTATGGCATGGCGTCAAGTCTGCATTAACTTGTGGCGATTTGTAAGCTGAGATATTAATTATTCTTTTATCACGGGCAAGACCCCGTGGCTCCAAAGTCAGAGGCACTGAAGTTGGGACCGTCATTTATGCACACTAAGTTATTCATTTAAGTATATCCTTGTTTTACGTATCGGATTTTTTTGCCAGTGTCAAAAATTAGGTGGACGTGGAAATAGGAATTCGAATTTACATTAAGGAATAAAACAGGTGTTTAAGATGTTCAAACAATAAATAGATACCTATTGCATGGCGTCAAGTTTACATTATGATGAACCACACATACAGTGAGGGAAAAAAGTATTTGATCCCCTGCTGATTTTGTACGTTTTCCCACTGACAAAGAAATGATCAGTCTATAATTTTAATGATAGGTTTATTTGAACAGTGAGAGACAGAATAACAACAAAATCTAAAGAAACGCATGTAAAAGATGTTATAAAATGATTTGCATTTTAATTATGGAAATAAGTATTTAACCCCTCTCAAGTAGAAAGATTTCTGGCTCCCAGGTGTCTTTTATACAGGTAACAAGCTGAGATTAGGAGCACACTCTGAAAGGGAGTGCTCCTAATCTCAGCTTGTTACCTGTATAAAGGACACCTGTACACAGAAGCAATCAATCAATCAGATTCCAAACTCTCCACCATGGCCAAGACCAAAGAGCTCTCCAAGGATGTCAGGGACAAGATTGTAGACCTACACAAGGCTGGAATGGGCTACAAGATCATTGCCAAGCAGCTTGGTGAGGTGACAGCAGTTGGTGCGATTATTCGCAAATGGAAGAAACACAAAAGAACTGTCAATCTCCCTCGGCCTGGGGCTCCAGGCAAGATCTCACCTCGTGGAGTTGCAATGATCATGAGAACGGTGAGGAATCAGTCCAGAACTACACGGGAGGATCTTGTCAATGATCTCAAGGCAGCTGGGACCATAGTCACCAAGAAAACAATTGGTAACACACTACGCCGTGAAGAACTGAAATCCTGCAGCGCCCGCAAGGTCCCCCTGCTCAAGAAAGCACATATACATGCCCGTCTGAAGTTTGCCAATGAACATCTGAATGATTCAGAGGACAACTGGGTGACAGTGTTGTGGTCAGATGAGACCAAAATGGAGCTCTTTGGAATCAACTCAACTCGCCCCGTTTGGAGGAGCAGGAATGCTGCCTATGACCCCAAGAACACCATCCCCACCGTCAAACATGGAGGTGGAAACATTATGCTTTGGGGGTGTTTTTTTTCCGTTAAGGGGACAGGACAATTTCACCGCATCAAAGGGACGATGGACGGGGCCATGTACCGTAAAATCTTGGGTGAAAACCTCCTTCCCTCAGCCAGGGCATTGAAAATGGGTCGTGGATGGGTATTCCAGCATGACAATGCCCCAAAACACACGGCCAAGGCAACAAAGGAGTGGCTCAAGAAGAAGCACATTAAGGTCCTGGAGTGGCCTAGCCAGTCTCCAGACCTTAATCCCATAGAAAATCTGTTGCGGGAGCTGAAGGTTCGAGTTGCCAAACGTCAGTCTCGAAACCTTAATGACTTGGAGATCTGCAAAGAGGAGTGGGACAAAATCCCTCCTGAGATGTGTGCAAACCTGGTGGCCAACTACAAGAAACGTCTGACCTCTGTGATTGGCAACAAGGGTTTTGCCACCAAGTACTAAGTCATGTTTTGCAGAGGGGTCAAATACTTATTTCCCTCATTAAAATGCAAATCAATTTATAACATTTTCGACATGCGTTTTTATGGTTTTTTCTTGTTATTCTGTCTCTCACTGTTCAAATAAACCTACCATTAAAATTATAGACTGATCATTTCTTTGTCAGTGGGCAAACGTACAAAATCAGCAGGGGATCAAATACTTTTTTCCCTCACTGTACATACGTGTGGCAAAACATAGATGCTCTGATAATATAATCCATTTAAAACAAAACCTTTGTCAATCCACTGACGAATCTGGGTCTCCGCCACGTCAGTCGTGGGGGTTGTTTGACCATACTTCGCCCTTCTGGTCAGTGCGGCTGGTGAAGGGGTGTTCACCATTGCCGGCAATCGAAGTTTGGGTTGCGGGTTCCACGGTGCAGTGCGCTAACCACTGTGCCACTGCTCCTTTGTCTTGCGCTTGTCACATTTTTTTCTCATCATGGGAACCTGCTGGTGTGATCGGGTGAGATGCAGTCCATGGTGCCGGAGGGGGCACAACCGATGCATCTGCCAGTCATCTCAAGTCAGCCAACTCATGTAGAGAGAGTGAGACGTCTACTAGTGGGGGGAGCCAGGTAGAAGGAGGGTAAGTAGAGAGAGTGAGACGTCTACTAGTGGGGGGAGCCAGGTAGAAGGAGGGTAAGTAGAGAGAGTGAGACGTCTACTAGTGGGGGGAGCCAGGTAGAAGGAGGGTAAGTAGAGAGAGTGAGACGTCTACTAGTGGGGGGAGCCAGGTAGGAGGGTAAATAGAGAGAGTGAGACGTCTACTTGTGGTTGGGGAGCCAGGTAGGAGGAGGGTAAGGAGACTGAGTGAGACGTCTACTAGTGGGGGGGGAGCCAGGTAGAAGGAGGGTAAGTAGAGAGAGTGAGACGTCTACTAGTGGGGGGGAGCCAGGTAGAAGGGGGGTAAGTAGAGAGAGTGAGACGTCTACTAGTGGGGGGAGCCAGGTAGAGGGTAAGTAGAGAGAGTGAGACGTCTACTAGTGGGGGGAACCAGGTAGAAGGAGGCTGAGTAGAGAGAGTGAGACGTCTACTAGTGGGGGGAGCCAGGTAGGAGGAGGGTAAGTAGAGAGAGTGAAACGTCTACTAGTGGGGGGAACCAGGTAGGAGGCTAAGTAGAGAGAGTGAGACGTCTACTAGTGGGGGGAGGCAGGTAGAGGGTAAGTAGAGAGAGTGAGACGTCTACTAGTGGGGGGAACCAGGTAGAAGGAGGCTGAGTAGAGAGAGTGAGACGTCTACTAGTGGGGGGAGCCAGGTAGGAGGAGGGTAAGTAGAGAGAGTGAAACGTCTACTAGTGGGGGGAACCAGGTAGGAGGGTAAGTAGAGAGAGTGAGATGTCTACTAGTGGGGGGAGCCAGGTAGAAGGGGGGTAAGTAGAGAGAGTGAAACGTCTACTAGTGGGGGGAACCAGGTAGGAGGCTAAGTAGAGAGAGTGAGACGTCTACTAGTGGGGGGAGCCAGGTAGGAGGAGGGTAAGTAGAGAGAGTGAGACGTCTACTAGTGGGGGGGAGCCAGGTAGAAGGGGGTAAGTAGAGAGAGTGAGACGTCTACTAGTGGGGGGGGGGGCAGGTAGAGGGTAAGTAGAGAGAATGAGACGTCTACTAGTGGGGGGAGCCAGGTAGAAGGAGGGTAAGTAGAGAGAGTGAGACGTCTACTAGTAGGGGGAGCCAGGTAGAAGGAGGGTAAGTAGAGAGTGAGACGTCTACTAGTGGGGGGGAGCTAGGTAGGAGGGGGGTAAGTAGAGATAGTGAGACGTCTACTAGTGGGGCGAGCCAGGTAGAAGGAGGAAAGCCAGGTAAAAGGGAGAGGCCCGGGCTAAGGGGATAAAAGGTGAACCTGGATGGAAGGGGAGGGGTCAGCAAGAAAGGGGAGTGAGAGAGAGGAGCCAGGGAGCAGGGAGAAGGGCCCCTGGGCCAGAGAGACAAAGGAGGCTACGGGTGGATGAGTACGGGGTAGCCTGGACGAAGGTCGAGGGAGTCGGGAGAGAGGGCTAAGAGACAGGGAGTAGTGGGTACTCGCGACGGAACGAAGAGTGTGGACGTTGGTGTCAATAAAGGGCAAGCAGCCCTGAATATTCGACCTGGTCTCCGTCTGAGTCTGCAATCCCACCGGGCATCCTGAAGCACGACTCTACACGTGGATTGGATAGTTACAGTATTCATTAAGCAAGCATCTCGCGTTGCTCAGAGGCAATACACATCAAGCGTTTAATCCAGACATTAACTTTAATCACAATACAGTACTCCCTGCTCAAAAGTACAAAATGTTTTTTTTATGTTTTCACATTTTATTGCCCAATTACATCCCTGGCCCATGTCTCTCTTTCAAAAGACACTGCACGGCAACACCAAGAGAAATATAAACTTGATGGAAACAGTAACCCCAAACCCAATACACCACCACTGCGTCACTTTCCCGTCCACCCTCACTGTTTTCTGCCTTCATATGAAAATTTATTTGCTCAGTGTGGGAGGAAAACAATTGGAATGGGACATTTTGTCCCGAGAACGAAAACTCACGTGGGGTTCTCACTCATTATCTGGGAATGCCCCAATCACCTGGAATGCCATCGCTTCCAAAAATGTCTTGGTTACTCTCCCATCTCAATCACAATTTGATGCCGAGCTATCGATTCATAACCATACTTGCAGCTACATTCAACATCATTATATCCTTGCCTGCTTTTATGGCAGTACAACAGTCACCCTATATATGTGTAACGTTTATGTAACTTAATAGTAATTGCACCACGATCAGTCTAAAACGAATCGATTTTACTCTTGCCTTTGATACGATACATATTGTGGTGGGTAATTGTTGGGCGTTATACGCCGGCCACCACTTTGGTTGAGCTGGTACTCCAGCCAGAGACCACCAGGGGGCAACAGCGAGTCCGGACTGTGACATGCAGGACTCGTGGGTCAGGCATCCCGGGGGGACGGTTGGGAACCAGAGGGGGGCACCCCAGGGCCCCCGGTGGGGGGCTGCGGGGGGATTGCGCAACAATCCAGGTCCTTCGAGAAGGTTCCAAATGGTGGGCGTGGCCAGGGGCGGGGTGACCCTGGGAGCCCCATAAAAGCCGGACCCCCAGAGTGGCTGAGCTCAGTTCGCCTCAAGCTGAAGAACCCGAAGCCGCCTGAAGATAGGACCCTGGACCCCGAGCCCCGACGTCCTTCTAAGGGCCGGGGCTCAGTGAGGCCAGTGGTCAATAGGCTAGGACCCTGAGGATCCCTCAACCCGACGTCCTTCTAAGGGCCGGGTCTGGATGGGCCAGGGTCGGGCCTCGTACCTTGGCTGGGTCGAGTCAGCCTTTCCTAGGTCCAGCTAGCCGGAGGTCTAGGATACACTAGCCCAGACATGGGCAAAGTTACGCCCGTTGGGCTTTTTAATCAGGTCCGCCGAACTTGTCCAAATATTATTATTGAATTAAATTTTTCCTTTCTGCTGTAATGCCCCCATTTCCCCATTAGATGGCGCACGTTGACCGGGAGTGAAAGTGATGAAGTGTTGCTGCAGCGAGGTTGGAGCCAAAGCTCGGACACACAGCCTGCGTGGCTGTTCTAACCTGTTAATGTAGATAATAAAGAAGTTCAAGTGAGGTCATTGGTTTAGGCGCAGGCCTCAGATGTTTTCATGATGTTTGATTAGTCACGTTACGACATGTTTTTGTATTGTTCATGTTTGTGCTATTTGTTAAATTGCCTTGCAAATAAATGCTTTGCTACCTGTTAAAGGCCAAATCCTTTCACGTAATGATTTTTAACACGTCATTTTTATTAGTTCACACAAACACTCCATCAATCTGTTCCTGGCCCGGCCCCTCTGTCAAATTTTAGAACCCATTGTGACCCGCGAGTCAAAAAATTTGCCCACCCCTGCGCTAGCCAGAGGGCTTCAAGAGCAGTTAGCCCCAGTGGCTAGGATACGTTAGCCCGGAGGCTGTACCTCCTTATAGGTTGTGGGTGGAAGGGGCCATTACCCCTTCGTGTTAGGGACCTAGAAATTGTGTTATTGTTACGTCGTATAATAAACGTGTTACCTCCTACGAAGACTCCGTCTCCATACAAAGGCAGGTAGGAGGAGGGTAAGTAGAGAGAGTGAGACGTCTACTAGTGGGGGGAGCCAGGTAGAAGTGAGGTATGTAGAGAGAGTGAGACGTCTACTAGTGGGGGGAGCCAAGAAGGAGGAGGGTAAGTAGAGAGAGTGAGACGTCTACTAGTGGGGGGAGCCAGGTAGAGGGTAAGTAGAGAGAGTGAGACGTCTACTAGTGGGGGGAGCCAAGAAGGAGGAGGGTAAGTAGAGAGAGTGAGACGTCTACTAGTGGGGGGAGCCAGGTAGGAGGGGGGTAAGTAGAGAGAGTGAGACATCTACTAGTGGGGCGAGCCAGGTAGAAGGAGGAAAGCCAGGTAAAAGGGAGAGGCCCGGGCTAAGGGGATAAAAGGTGAACCTGGATGGAAGGGGAGGGGTCAGCAAGAAAGGGGAGTGAGAGAGAGGAGCCAGGGAGCAGGGAGAAGGGCTCCTGGGCCAGAGAGACAAAGGAGGCTACGGGTGGATGAGTACGGGGTAGCCTGGACGAAGGTCGAGGGAGTCGGGAGAGAGGGCTAAGAGACAGGGAGTAGTGGGTCATCGCGACGAAACGAAGAGTGTTTGATGTTGGTGTGAATAAACGGCAAGCAGCCCTGAATATTCGACCTGGTCTCCGTCTGAGTCTGCAATCCCACCGGGCATCCTGAAGCACGACTCTACACGTGGATTGGATAGTTACAGTATTCATTAAGCAAGCATCTCGCGTTACTCAGAGGCAATACACATCAAGCGGTTAATCCAGACATTAACTTTAATCACAGTACAGTACTCCCTGCTCAAAAGTACAAAATGTATTTTTTATGTTTTCACATTTTATTACCCAATTACATCCCTGGCCCATGTCTCTCTTTCAAAAGACACTGCACGGCAACACCAAGAGGAATATAAACTTGATGGAAACAGTAACCCCAAACCCAATACACCACCACTGCGTCACTTCCCCGTCCACCCTCACTGTTTTCTGCCTTCATATGAAAATTTGTTATTTGCTCAGTGTGAGAGGAAAACAATTGGAATGGGACATTTTGTCCCGAGAACGAAAACTCACGTGGGGTTCTCACTCATTATCTGGGAATGCCCCAATCACCTGGAATGCCATCGCTTCCAAAAATGTCTTGGTTACTCTCCCATCTCAATCACAATTTGATGCCGAGCTATCGATTCATAACCATACTTGCAGCTACATTCAACATCATTATATCCTTGCCTGCTTTTATGGCAGTACAACAGTCACCCTATATATGTGTAAGGTTTCTGTAACTTAATAGTAATTGCACCACGATCAGTCTAAAACTAATCGATTTTATTCTTGCCTTTGATACGATACATATTGTGGTGGGTAATTGTTGAGGCGTTATACGCCGGCCACCACTTTGGTTGAGCTGGTACTCCAGTCAGAGACCACCAGGGGGCAACAGCGAGTCCGGACTGTGACATGCAGGACTCGTGGGTCAGGCATCCCGGGGGGACAGTTGGGAACCAGAGGGGGGCACCCCAGGGCCCCCGGTGGGGGGCTGCGGGAGGATTGCGCAACAATCCAGGTCCCTCGAGAAGGTTCCAAATGATGGGCGTGGCCAGGGGCGGGGTGACTCTGGGAGCCCCATAAAAGCCGGACCCCCAGAGCGGCTGAGCTCAGTTCGCCTCAAGCTGAAGAACCCGAAGCCGCCTGAAGATAGGACCCTGGACCCCAAACCCTGACGTCCTTCTAAGGGCCGGGGCTCAGTGAGGCCAGTGGTCAATAGGCTAGGACCCTGAGGATCCCTCAACCCGACGTCCTTCTAAGGGCCGGATCTGGATGGGCCAGGGTCGGGCCTCGTACCTTGGCTGGGTCGAGTCAGCCTCCCCTAGGTCCAGCTAGCCGGAGGTCTAGGATACACTAGCCCAGACATGGGCAAAGTACGGCCCATTGGGCTTTTTAATCCGGCCCGCCGAACTTGTCCAAATATTATTAAATTATATTTTTCCTTTCTGCTGTAATGCCCCCATTTCCCCATTAGATGGCGCACTTTGACCGGCAGTGAAAGTGATGAAGTGTTGCTGCAGCGAGGTTTGAGCCAAAGCTCGGACACACAGCCTGCGTGGCTGTTCTAACATGTTAATGTAGATAATAAAGAAGTTCCAGTGAGGTCATTGGTTTGGGCGCAGGCCTCAGATGTTTTCATGATGTTTGATCAGTCACGTTACGACATGTTTTTTTTATTGTTCATGTTCGTGCAATTTGTTAAATTGCCTTGCAAATAAATGCGTAGTTAAAGGCCAAATCCTTTCATGTAATGATTTTTACACGTCATTTATATTAGTTCACACAAACACTCCATCCATTCCTGGCCCGGCCCCTCTGTCAAATTTTAGAACCCATTGTGGCCCGCGAGTCAAAAAATTTGCGCACCCCTACGCTAGCCAGAGGGCTTCAAGAGCAGTTAGCCCCAGTGGCTAGGATACGTTAGCCCGGAGGCTGTACCTCCTTAGGTTGTGGGTGGAAGGGGCCATTACCCCTTCGTGTTAGGGACCTAGAAATTGTGTTATTGTTACATCGTATAATAAACGTGTTGCCTCCTACGAAGACTCCGTCTCCATACAAACCCACAACACATATTTGCCTCATCAGTGTAACTCTATTTTACTTTCGTGAATTTGGTGACCCAGACCACTTGCAAATTGAAACACCACTGGTCTCGAGTTCTCAAATGGTTAATTAAACAAACTTGACTTAACTCGGTCCAACTTTACCAATTTCCCTACAAGCCCACGAACCTCTGGAGTCCTCGGCCCAATATGTCATGCAGCATCAAATACAATCTTTATTCCTTCGGCCTCATATCCATACCCCCCACGTGCATTTTTTTCCTGTGCTTCCGTAGATAATCAGGTTGAGCGAAGGCTTTGTTACATACGCCGCACTGATACTTCTTCCCCTCCGTATGCAAGAAGCAGTGGGCCTTGAGCGCCGCCGCGAGCGAGAACGCCTTGCCGCACGCCTCGCACCTGTACGGCTTCTCTCCCGTGTGCACCAGCTGGTGACGCTTGAGCGTGGTGGCGCGCGAAAAGGACTGGCCGCACACCTTGCACTCGTGTGGCTTCTCGCCCGTGTGCACGCTTCGGTGGTCCTTTAGGTGGTCGGCACGCAGGAAGGCCTGCTCGCAAACGTTGCATCGGTGAAGATTCTCGCCCGTGTGTATGCGCTTGTGATCCTTTAATTGAAAGGCACTCGTGTAGGCCCTGCTGCAAATGCCGCACTGGAAGGACCTCTCCCTCGCGTGATTAAATGTGTGATGCTTCTGCTGGACATCCTGCGAGATCGATCCGTCATCAGATTCATTCAGCCACCATTGGTCATTCGTGTGCGTCTTCGAACGGTGCCCGATGTCTCTGCAGCTGCGTATCGTTTGGCCGTACGCATAGCGGCCACGGGCGTTCACTCCCACGCGCATACGCTGGTGGCGCTTGAGAGTGCCGCTCTGTGAAAAGTTCTGTCCGAATCGATCACAGTGATGCAGCATTGCCCCAAGCTCCGAACTATGTTCGATGTTTGGCTGCTCCACATTCAAGCTCACAGTACTGTGATGTGCTGAGCCTATTACTGACAGTGGCAGGGTTGTACACTCAGTACCAGGAACAGCATCTGCTCCTTTCCTCTTCACTTTGGCTGTTGCCTCATGCTGCAGCAATGAAGACGGGTCAGGCTCAGCAGCTGTGGTGAGGCTCACTTTCTCGGAGTGCAGCGAGGTCACAGTTTGAATGGCGATTCCAAAATCCTCCTCAGAAACTCCTTCCCCTACTGACCAAAAGACATTGTAAAGATACATTACCCATATTAATTGTCCATTCATTACATGGTCACGTGGTAATTAAGGATAATTTATGGAAAATGCACACAAATCGCACTTGTACAAATGTGGTGCATTGAAGTTTAAGAAGCGTCACTGTTTACTCATGACAAAGCAAAAACCCAAATATCACGTTTGACTTATCTGATCTCACCTAAATGTATTACCATCCTCCCCCATTGATTTGCAGCAACTCCGTGATTCCGTGGATCCCTTACATCTGGTTCTATCGACACTGTAACTCACAACAGATAATTCCATCTTGTGACCGACTTTGCGCCTCACTGTCACGGGCCTCCCACTTTAATCCGATGACTCACTTGGGTGGGGATGAAGATGGATTCTGTGGAAGGAGTATCTGAACGAAATAAACAAAAGCGCCTTCAGCACACACTTAAGATTCATAATACGGGTTTTTTGGGTTAGATCGCGGAAATATAAATGTGTCGTAACCCTCCACCACCCAACACAGCCAGTAAGTATTCTTTGGGTCTTTCAGTAAAGTCACTTAGATAGGTTCATAGAAAATAACAAATAACAAAAAACGATCTACGTGACTTTACCGAAAGACCCAAAGAATATGAATTCCTACAGTAACGAAAGCTTTAAGTCAAGATTTACAGCCAGTAAGGCTTGTCACGTAAACAACACGCCAATTAGTTACAGTAAAACCTTGGATTGCGAGTAACTTGGTCTGCGAGTGTTTTGCAAGACGAGCAGAAATTTTAAATAAATATTAATTTGATAAACGAGCGAGGTCTTGCAATACGAGTAGTGTACGTATACGCTTTGTCTGCCGAGCGTCACGTGATCACAACTGATGTACGAGTGCTTTGATATACGAGTGCTTTGGATTACAAACACGTTTCCAGAACGAATTATGCTCGCAATCCAAGGTTTGACTGTACTACTTCAACCCACCGGTGTGTTGGAGAGTAAATCCTAACCAGTGGGCTGAAGTAGTAACTATCTGGCTGTGTCGGGTGGTGGAGGGTTACGACACATTTATACTTACGGGATCTAACCCAAAAATATTTATGAATAATATTGGTCATGAAAGCCTACGTGTTAAACTGACACACATAAGACATCATGTGAATGGCAACTCTATAAGATATGTATTTTTTTTTACCACATTCCGAGAGGTGTTCCTCTTCCACTTTCATCACAATCTCAGGACTGCCTTCATTGGCAGGTGGAATTGAGCCCTCAGTGTACATCCGAGAGCCGTCCATGGCTCCCAGCCTGTCTGCAGACAGCAGCAGCTCCCGGCTCAAGCTCCTGAACAGCATGAGCAGCACGTCCACCAGGCCTCCCAGCATTATGTTGCCAGGGGAGGAAGCGGCGTCGTCCCAGGGTGGTGTCCCAGCGTCGTGGGGCTCGGCGCCCCGCAGGGCCTTCACCACCTGCCGCAGCACGGCGTAGAAGCCGAAGGGCAGGCGGTCGCGCGCCGTGGCCAGCAGCTCGGCCCGCACGAGGCCGTCCCCGACGCAGGCGCGCAGGACCCCGTAGTCCCGGATGCCCAGCTCGGAGTCCATGGCCCGGGCCACCTCCGCGTTCACGCCCTGCGCCTGCAGCCACGCCGGGAAGTTCCCGCTCGGCTCCAGGATTGGGGCGGCCACCACACATGCCATTCTGATGGACATTCAAAGTAGACATAGCCTTCGAAGCAATACAAAAATGCACAAGATACAATTGTGTTGACCTGATGCAAACTTGCCTGGCAAAACCTTAGTGGGCATTATTTTATTTGTTTTATTTGTTCCTGCAACAATAACACAATGGCCAATTCTCGAGCTCTTCTGATGGAAATCCTAGACCCGCAAACCTCGGGGCAAGTGTTAAAGAAGTGGGTTTCTTCTCTATTTTTCAGAAGCAGACATCTCAGGCCAATTGTGGCGCGTATCTCTTTTCCACTGCATAACTCAGGGCCCACTGGGGCCATGTTGAGCCAACTCGGTGCAGCTCAGGGGCCAGATTGTTTTTCCACTGCAGAAGCCGACCCACGCCGCTGTTATCACATGTAATGAATGAGTAGAGATACGTGATCCTTATGACGGTACCCCTGGGTACCAAATAATACAAAATGGCCGAGGCAATTAAATATTTTATTTCCGGGACACTTTTTTTCCAGGGGTGTACTTGACTCCGCGACTGGGGTACCAATCAATCCGCAATCAGTGCTACTCCGCGATGTCGAAACACAGCAAGGACGATTGCGCTGAAACCCTGAACGCTCGCATGCACCATAGTGCATCGTGTACAGGTCGTCGAGATGAGTCAATTGCCGCATCGCCGACCATCACCAGACCAAAAATGACTGCATCACGGAGATTATGCGAGAGCCGGGGTATTATGGTACCCCGGGGTACCGCCATAAGGTTCACGTGTCCATGGCGCAGTGACACTTTGTCTTCACGAATTGAGGTGTCTGGTGAGGCCAGCATATCATGGTTTGGTTTTAGTTTCGCAAAAGCCAGTGGAAAAACCGCCTCCGCTGGTGCAGATTTGCCGGCAGAAAAGGGGTCTAGGAAGACGCGTGGTGACACACCCCTGGCGCTTTGAAGGCAGGATCGATGGATTAGATGGACATCCTGTCGGCTTCCAAATTCTGATCCTATTTTCAAGTTAATGGGAATATTTAGAAGACGTTTACATCTTTATGTCCTGCTTATTTTCAAAACATATTTTATTCGATTCTCTTCCAAGGCGTCTGACCAGCATAGAAGTGTAGGCAAAAGTACCCTCTAGAGGGGTTCCCTGGAGGAGTGTCCACTAAAGCTCCCTCTAGTGGAGGACCTTCCACTAGCAGACAGAGTGAGCAAACCATTTCAATTTTTTCATATACTGCAGAGCACTTTTCGATTTAAAGCTTTCGTGACTGCAGGGATTCATATTCTTGGTTCAACACAATGTCTGTGACTGCATCACAGACATTGTGTTTTTCACACCTGATGATTGCTTGTGTTGCAATCGAAACGTCGTGAGAATTTTACTGTTTATTTGTATTATTTTATTATTTCCCCTTCTACGTGACTTTACCGAAAGAACCAAGAATATGCAGAGCACTTATCCGCAAACGTTTCATGCGAATCCGGAAAACCTATTTGAGTTTACGACCGGTCCAGCTATCACTGGCCCCTGACGCAAGCCGTGGCCAGGAATTCAAATACATTCGGCGGGTTCATACCGTAGTGCCAATCACGTTGTCGCATCTCCCCCATACACTTCCGTCCTTCTGGTGCCATTCCATTGCTGGATGAGAGGCTACCCACGCCGTGCCAGGTTACAGGGCTGTTACTTGACCATACTTCTCCAAGCTGGTCAGTGCGAGTTGGTGAAAACAAAGAGCATAGGCGTGGGAGCACAGCACAATGGATTTTTTTTGCTGTACTGCCCTCCATCCTCTACCCACCGCCTCTATGAGCGGTAGTGATTCGGCCAGCGCGCTGCGCTACGAACCCGGAGACCCGAGTTCAATTTCCGCTCATGACCAACGCCATTGACGATTATCTGAACCGGTCCTGCGCTTTCCCTAGGTCGACTAAGCTTCAAATGAGTACCCGGTGCGATGTGTAAACATCGCCTCTGGGGGAGACAAAGGCGGCCGGGCGTAGTGCTGGCCACCCCACCCCCTTTTGTGTGCCGTGCTGGCCTTTCATAGGTGCTCGCTAACAGCTCTTGCCCCACCAGTCTATGTGCTCACCCACTCAAGCACGACCCAGGCTAAAACTCTGCTTAGCTTCTGAGATCTGCTGATTTGTGGTCACAGGCGCTTGTAAGCAAGCACGCACAATATAGTTGATGTGCGCGATGGTGGGGGGGGGTACTATTGTTGATGGTCGTCGTAGCATGATGACATTTGTATATGGACGGTGTAGACCAGGGGTGGGGAACGTCCGGCCCGCGGGCCGTATGAGGCCCACGAAATCATTTGGTGTGACCCTGCCAAGGCAACCGTAGGTGGGACTCGAAATTCAATAAATCTAGGAGAGCAAACCTGGAAAAGCAGTTGCGAGTAGCAACATCATCAATACCAGCTAACATCATCAATACCAGCTAACATCATTTAAAACCAGCTAACATCATCACACACCTCACCAAAGAGAAGCAGTACAAGCCATCGCGTTAGGGGTGAGTTAATTAAATGTTTGACGAAATATAACGGGCGAATTTTTAAGTTGATAATTTTGTAATGGCCCGCGAATGATGTTATAATTATCCAAATGGCCCTTGGCAGAAAAAAGGTTCCCCACCCCTGGCACTGTAGATAATTATGATACAAATGCGCGAAGAATTGGAAAGAATCAAAAGTGCAGCGCCGCAATCGCTTGCTCCGCGCCACTAGCGACAGATATTACCCCAACATTTCGAGGCAGCTCTAGCGCCCTCCTCTCAGGCGGTGTGTTGGCCTACTCTTCCACAGTGCCTACCTTAACACGTTCCTGCGGAGGGGGCTGGTAGGTACGTTGGTTGCTCGGTCAGTGCCCAGGGACAACGGCGGCAGGTGGTGTATTCCGCAAATATGCCCGACTGTGAGGGCGGGCACAAGCCGGCGTGAGTAGGTTAAACATTGAGTTTTATAAGGGCACCACGGGGTGACCAGCCCCTCCCCACCCAGCCCCACCCCACCCAGCCCCTCCCATTTTTGGATGCACGACGGACGAACACAATAATCCCCTGTGGGCTGGTGTAACCAGGAGGTTCCTACCAGTAAGAGGCAGCTCTAGCGCCCTCCTCTCAGGTGGTGTGTTGGCCTACTCTTCCACAGTGCCTACCTTATTAAGAGACCAATTCAGACCTTGTTGGTCACCCCATGTCCCTCATAAATCTCAACGTTCATCCTGCAAAGTCCCATCACAAGGGAGAAGCACAAAATAGACCAAAAATATGCTACTAAACAAAATGGTGTTTATGTACTAATTTTGATCATTGGTGTCAATGATGCTACATATCATGCTACCGTCTGTGATCTTACAGCATGCTGATCCTGCTTGCTTGATATGTGGATGCACATACTTATATTGTAAATATACAACAATAAACACGGAAAACTATGAAGGGTTAAACTACTTTTGTGTTTGGCCGTTTGATTCTTTTTTTTTTCTGCCCGTATTGAAACGGCTGTACGCCCGTATGAACCTGAAAACTCGATTTTCCTGTACAAGAATACGGGGTAAACCGTGTGGGTTAACAGGTATGGTGTTGTGTATAGTGATGTAGTGTATAGTAACGTAGTATATAGTGTAGTGTATAGTTTAACATGTAGGCTTTCGCGACCAATATTATTCATAATAAAGGTTTTTGGGTTAGATCGCGTTTATTTATAAATGTGTCGTAACCCTCCACCACCCGACACGGCCAATCAGCAAACTGTAAATGTGGATTCACTCTTCAACACACCGGTGGGCTAAAGTAGTGAATTGTCTTTTGTCAACGTGACACTTTTTTGCTGATTGGCCGTGTCGGGTGGTGGAGGGTTACGACACATTTATAAATAAACGCGATCTAACCCAAAAAACCTTTATTATGAGTGTAGTGTATAGCATACCTGTGCCTACCCTATTACACACCAATTCAGACCTTGTTGATCACCCCGTGTCCCATAAAAATCTCAACGTTCATCCTACAAAGTCCCATCACAAGGGAGAAACACAAACAAACAAAAAATGTTTGCCCGTATTGAAACGGCTGTACGCCCGCATGGACCTGAACACTCAAATGTCCCCTGGACAAGAATTCGGGTAAAACCTTATAGGGTTGACAGGTATTGCCCGACGTTGACCGGACGTCTCGAAAGCTATGACAGATGTTAAAACGCACTCGCCTTGGGGAGGAATAAAGTCTTCACTTTAAACAAAAAAAAACAGAGGAGCGCTGGGTAGAGGGCGTGAGGCATGGGCCACGTTGGTGAAGCAACAATAACAGCAGCAGCTGTTGTTGTTGATGGAGGCGACCAACGTGCTCCTCGCAGTTCGCCGATTCGAAGGGTTAGGGACCGCGGCGATGTTGAACTCAGCCAGTTGAACGCGAAGTCTACAGTATTAGGGCTTTCTTGACCAACATTATCCAAAGGAGGGGGGTGGGATTTTTTTTCGGGGTTAGATGGCGTAAATGTGTGTCGTAAAAACCAATTAGGAAGGTTTTTTTTGTCACAATTCTCGTAACGTTTTCCACAATCTCTGGCTGTCGCCTGATGAGGCTGGTTGTAAACACCGGTTAAAACGTCGTGCTAGAATGGTAAATGTTGTGGCTTTTGCTCTCCAACACACAACCGACCGGTGTGCTGTAGCAGTAACGAATTGGCACGTTTCGTTTACGTGACAAACCCTGCCTAAATTGTCCGTGTCGGGTGCTTGGCGGCGGGTTTAACGACACATTTGTAACTGCGTGATCTAACCCAAACAAAAAAAACACCACTGTGGATTGAACACCGAGTTGACTTGTTTTTAACGTGTCAAGTCAACAGACCCGGGGGATAAGGAATCCCCAGTTGCAAAGTGTGACCAGAGGCGGTCACCAAAGTTCCAAATACAAAAACAAGTACAGCGATGAAGCAAATATAAATAAGGAGCAAAAGCAATGGTGGTCACGTAAAAAAAGTATTGCACGAATATAAACCTACGTTGAAAACATTGCTGCTATTATTATAGCCAGATCCCCCAAAGTCCGTAAAAATAAAAAAACAGTAGTCACGTAGGTAAAATAAAATAAATTAAAATAAAAGACAATTAAATCACGACGTTTCGGAGGCAACACAAGCTTCCGTCTTCAGGTGGAAGTCACAGCAAGATCGCTGCATCACTTGATGCTGCATCACTTGATGCTGCATCACGTGATTTAATTGTTTTTTTATTTTAATTTATTTTATTTTACCTACGTGACTTTACCGAAAAAACCAAAGAGTATGAATCCTTGCAGTCACGAAAGCTTCAAATCTAGAACCCCAGTAAAACTGTGATTCGCGATGCTGTGTAAGACGAACAGAGTTCGTTATCTGCAATTTACCCCGTTTAAACGTGAAAGAAAAATCACGGATAACACTGGTCTACAGCCAAAATGCCCCCGAAATACATGTTGTGCAACTTTACTAATTCTGGGTCACTGAGAATGAAAATGATGCGTAAAATTGTTGATTGGCTCTAGTTTTTTAAGATATGCTACTGGGTCAGTATATCAAGGCCGTAATTATAATATATTGGGGGGGACACATCCAATATTCAAATATGATCAAAATGTCCCCCCCCCAATATATTCCAATAAAAAGAATTGCTATGTAAAAATAATTGCTATGTAAAAAAACTATTTACTAAACCTTGGCCACAATATCTGGACTTGTCTTCATATAACAATGCATAGATTTCTGTTTATATGATTGTGGTTATGGTTGTACTTTATTAATCCCTAATGTCTGCCATTACATACAATGAAACAAGAAATGGAAAAAGTAAAAACAGAGCAATGTGATACAATACACTATTAGACATTGTAAAAAATAAATGAAAAGTCCATCCCATGTGTTAGTGATTTCTTTTAATATTTTAGGCAGGAAATTAGTTTAGAATTAAAGCTTTCGTGACTGCATAAATTACTCATTGGTTTTTTCGGTAAAGTCACGTATGTAGAAATACAATAAAATTATATCAAAATAAATCACGACGTTTCGACCGCAACACAAGCGATCATCATCAGGTGTAAAAACAAATAGCGAGGGAGCACATAGGGTGACATCAACGCAACACGTAGAGAACGTTAAACTGCACGGAGGTAAATACAAGAAGATGAGAGACGGGAATCCAACAAACCTAAGAAAAAATGACGTGATGCAAAACCAGTCGGCCAACAACACAGTTAGACACTTTGTTGAAATCTCGTCTCTCATCTTCTTTGTTGTATTTACCTCCGAGCAGTTTAACGTTCTCTATGTGTTGCGTTGATGTCACCCTATGTGCTCCCTCGCTATTTGTGTTTTACACCTGATGATGATCGCTTGTGTTGCGGTCAAAACGTCGTGATTTATTTTAATATAATTTTATTGTATTTCTACATACGTGACTTTACCAAAAAAAACAATGAGGAAATTAGTTTTCAAATTTTGATTTTTTTTCTGGGTTGGGACCCCCAGACACCCTGGAAAATTTGGTCCCCCCCAATGTTGGCTCCATGGCTACGGCCTTGCAGTATATACGACCCTTGACTTGAGAATGGCGGATGATAACTGAGTAATAAAGGGAAGGGATCTCATTTTAAACCAGAAATTACTCAAATACATATTTGACTGGATCTATGAATACATCTATGACTGGGTTTGGACAGTACTTGCTTTTTGAGCAAAACAATGATGCAATCTGAACCTGGTATTGCATCATACATGATATGAATTGCATCCTGTTATTCCTAGAAGTCATGGATTATGCAATCATAACTAGGCTTACATCCCTCTGCTGAACAAACTGCCCTATATCAGCTCTAGAAATCATACAGTGTCATGCTCTCTTAAATGTCAGTGTTTGATTTTGCAAAGGAACAAAGTGAGCAGTGATGCCTCTTACTTGGGTGAACAAAGCAGATCACTTCTGCTGTTTTGTGATGAAGTGACATTTGCATCACAAAAGCGCAGTATAACCACTACGGTGAAGAAAGCCTATCACCTTTATTTTGGCTGCAAAATTGGAGATCAGGACAAGATGTGGGCCCCACACATATGCTGCAACACTTGTGCAACAAATCTTTGCCAGTGGTTGAGCAGGAAAAGGAAAACTATGCCTTCTGCAGTACCAATGATTTGGAGAGAGCCAACACATCATATCAGCAATTGTTACTTCTGCATGGCACCTCCAGTTGGGAAAGGGGTGTCAAAGCCATGGCTGACGATTATATTCCAAAGTGAGGAACCCACAAGACAACCATGTACATACTGCATTTATTGTGACGTGCATTCACACCCATTCAGAATTAACCTTAAAGAAAGAGCGGCAATATGAGAAGTGACTCTATAATGGGAATTTAAAGGGTGGTCCAAATGTCTTGTGACTCTCATTAAATTATAAAAATACTAAATTTGTTTTAAGTAATGTTGATTTCAAACATAAAAGAAAAAGCAAAGGAAAAATATGTTCCGGGTTAATTAATTGGGGGGGAGGGGGGTCACGAGACATCTGGATCACCCTGAACAGCACTTTCCACAATGCATGATATCGTACACCTTAATTCGAGTCTGTATTCGGCGCCAAGCGTAAAAAATACGTTTGTATGTTTACATTTATTAGGATGGAAACAGAGACAATTCAGGAATTGTATACGATACGACCAATGCAAGTAAAAGTGAAAGCGAAAATATACGGCACAGCGACACCAGTAGTGCCGTTATACGTAGGCACTCAGGAAGACAACAATAAGGATACCTTTGAAGGATAGAGATGAGAATGCCGAGATGGATATTGGGATTTCTGTATGCAAGTAGGTATGGTGAACTTCTTTCGCATCATACGTAGCCAACCGTGCTCATCTGAGGTGCGGGGAAATCAGAGGTGCGGAGGAGGAGGAAATTCACAGGTTCCAAAGGTTACGAATATTTTCAAAAAGGCGAGGGAGGCCAGACCTAAATGGTTCGGGAATGTGTTCAGGAGAGACAATACAGATCTCCGATTATACCAAAACCTTATCCATCGCGGGTTTTGCCATCGTGGATTTAGGTATAGTTCGCCGACGGAGCTCCTTGAGTTCTCGACCATTCACGCTTGAGTGTGAGATTCCTATACAGTATGCATCGTACAGAAGTACTTTACTCCAACTGGACTCTGCTAACGATGCTGCTGCGGAAGAATGTATGTACAGGTACTCCTCTACCTATTAACTTTCAGAGATACGAACAAACCTGTCCGTATGTTCAGTCGCCTGTTCGGACCAGGAGTTTTAAGTTCAACCGCCACGCAAGAGATGGTGGCATTTACATCTGCAGAACATGAAGAATCGGTGGCATCTACGTCTACAGGAGATTAGACAACTTTTAAAGCGATTCCCCGCGTTTAGTGTACATGTCGTACAACATGTTTGGAATCAATAGGAGTAAAGTTGGACTCATGAACAAATTGACGTATGAACAGACCTCTGGAACCTAACTCGTTCGTAAGTAGAGGAATCCTTGTATGTTGAACTTCTTTCGCACCATACGTAGCCAACCGTGCTAATCGCAGTTGCGGGGGAAGGACAACAAACTAAACACAAAAAGCAGTTTTAAAGAAATACGTTTTCAATCTAGATTCCTAATATCAGAAGGAAGAGCGTTCCAGACGGCCACAGAAGCGCATCTGAAAGCGAGTGATGCAGAATACATGCGCGATCATCATCAATCATAGTAAAATCGTTTATTCTTTTTTAAACTGCATATTTACTGTACATGTCATTGACCTCATTTTTAGTTTATGTAGAGTCAAATAAAACAAAATAACGAGGTGTCGTGTTATGAACCGTGAACCAAACCCTCTTTTTTTACATATGCCTCCGAGTTTTAGGATCGCTGATTTGCCGATTGCAGCTATTTTCAAGAAGGTAACCCCCGTGATGGGCAAGGTTTTGGTGTATAAGGGCTATGAAGATGTACGCCACCTGTGCAGGACAGGGAAAGAGGGAGCCCGGGGATGAGATTGAAGGGTGGAATGAGATATGACAGGTGGGGAAGAGGCAAAGAATTGATGCACATGGATAAAGACAATCTGAGCAGCCGACGACAACCTTTGATTTAGAAGAGAAGTGCTTTGTGTAAAAAATAACAGGCAGGGTAGGGGGGGGTGTGATAAATAATATTACCAGCCAAAAATTTGAGTCTTGTCTTGTCTGGACTGGTCTTTACGTCAAAGGTGCCCTAGGCAAACAATGTAACGTCCCTTTTAAATAATAATTTATACTCCGATGCATTTGAACCTTCCTCCATAAGTCACTTAACTGTTGCGACAATCCTCTCCTCAGGAAACATGCTCTATCTACATGTATCTGCTGAACCTCCGCCTTGCCCGGTCTTCTCACCTCTCTCCACTTTTTACCAGATGTACTACAGCGGGGTCGGCACTAGCCCTGGTGCAAGGAAATAAATTGGGGCCTCCTTCAACTTTCTCCCCCTCTTCATAGCTCAGTGCCCAGGCCCCTACCTTTGGACCCTGGGCCCCATTTACAGTCGCATTGCCTGTACACCAAAAACTCTGCACCGCCACTGGACCGTGAACCACTAGGTCGTCAGCCCGCTACACTCTGGGGCAGCGGCGATCTGCGCCATTTGTCCGGGCGGTAACCCGTGCGTTTGCTCATGTTTCCTCAGAGTGGTGGCTCGCGAGAAAGCTTTGCCGCACACGTCACACTGGTGCTGCTTGCCCTGCATGTGCACGTACTGGTGGTTCTTGAGGGTAGTGGGGTGCGAGAACGCTCGGTCGCACACTTCGCAGCGGAACGGCTTCTCACCCGTGTGCACGCGTCGGTGGCTCTTCAAGGTGGTGTCCCGGGCGAAGCTGCGGTTGCACACCTCGCACACGTAGGGCCTCTCCCCCGTGTGAATGCCCTGGTGCCGTTTGAGCGTCGCGGTGTGCGAGAACGTCTTCCCGCAAGCGTCGCACCGGTAGGGCTTCTCGCCCGTGTGCACGTGCTGGTGTCGTTTCATCGTGGCGGGTTGCGAGAACGTCTTGCCACACACGCCACACCGGTAGGGCTTCTCGCCGGTGTGCACACGCAGGTGGTTCTTGAGCGAGAAAGCCCGCATGAACGCCTGCCCACACGCCTCGCAGCGGTACGGCTTCTCGCCCGTGTGAAGGTGCTCTCTCAGCTGGGACGACCAGGATTCAGATTTGTCGCAGGGACTCTCCTGCGCGTGCGCCGACTGGCACAAGTCCCCCATCCCGCGCGCACGCGTCTTCCGGCAGCGGCTCCGGAAAGTGCGGCCGTGCAGGTTCCCCGTCGCGTGTGTGAGCCGGTGGCGCTCGAGGGAGCCGCTCTGCGAGAAGCCACGACCGCACTGCTCGCATCGATACGGCGTCACGGTTCGTTTATTTAAAACGAACCGAGCGTTGCTCAACTTTGGGAAACATGGTCCAATCGTGCCATGTGCAAGCGAAAGACTGCGTTCGTTCCACTGCTGCTGTTCCTCATTATTCTGGCTCAAGGTGTTTAGTCGGGGTAACGGTGTTCCCCGGATCGATGATGTTGATCCCTCTGCCACTGCCGGAGATGTGTGCTTGAAAGGAACAGTTGATATTTCTCTTTTGAGCTCGACTGCAGCGTCCTGCTGTGGTGACGAAGGTGGGCCAGGTTTGGCGGTGCAGGGGAGCCCCACTCGCTCGTACAGCGAAGTCACGGCTTGAATGAAGATTCCGGGGTCTTCCTCTGGGGATCCTTTATCTACAGAATGCAGAAATTTCACACACTATGAAGCCAGGCCTATGACAAAATCACTCAGAATGCGCCCCACCTTATCATCTCAGCAGGGTTAAACCTCGATAGTGCTTGCTTAGATCGTGCTTAGTTGGGTGACCGTCATGAATAAAGAGATTGTCATAGGGCTGCACGTTTACGCTCCTTGCCCACACCAAACCCGCACTATCAAGCATGAGGTACAGTCAAATAATCCCCATTGGCCGCAGTGGGGATGACCTCAGCCAGCACTGGAACGACAAAAGGTTTGTACCTATAGAGGTTAAGCTGCATTACATCCAGCGTATGCTCCTTTTATTGTTATCTACACGTTAAGACAATTCAGTTGTAGCCAATGCAGCTGAAAACCACACTAACTCCTATTTGCCTCCTGCTATAGCGAAATTGCCAACTCATTTATCAAAGTGATAGTGTGCTTGCTTACATTTCACAATGATACCTCCAAACTTCCCGAAATGTCCAGCTCACCTTTACCAGCCCCCGCACTCGGCATGGGAGTAATCGTTTCTTTCCAATGGATTACTTCGATTGCCTGAAGAAATTTTCAAGCAATCGATAACTTTCTCACTCATCGAATAGTTGAACGATTCCTCTCGAATATGGAAAATAACAATAGATTTCGGTAATCAGGGAGAGCCTCAGAGTCGAGCCGCTGCTCCTCCGGATCGAGAGGAGCCAGTTGAAGTGGTCTGGGCACCTTGTAAGGATGTCCCTTGGTAGACTCCCCCTGGAACTGTGTATCGGGCACGTCCCAGTGGGTGAAGACCCCGCAGCCGGTCCAGGACACGCTGGCGGGGTTATGTCGCTCGGCTAGCCTGGGAACGCCTGGGAATTCCCCAGCAAGAGCCGCCAGGAAATGGAGGTTTGGACCACCTTACTCAACATGCTGCCGGCACGACCCTCACCCAGACAAGCAGACTGAGAAACGAGCGATAGATTTTACTAAAATGTTCTTCTTCTTTCGTATGGCTGATATAGATGCAGAGCAACAACTACAATTTTACATTCTGGTGGTCAAGCCAGATAACCACGTCAGGAGCAGCGGAATGTATTGCTATAATCTCTCCTTCATATTTGTGGATTGGGCATTGCGTCGCTATATGTGGTATGGTCTGTTCTGGATGACCACAGTAGCACACTGGACAGTTTTTAATAAAATGTTGATCGAGGCACTGGAGGAAAATGGGGAGAAGAATTTGGACGCCTGGTGCACGTGTGTACTGTGTCTGCTACTGGTAAAATTAACCTCCATACACATCCATATGCTTACAGCTCACACTTGTGATGGTGATGGGGGAGCCTGGGGAGGGGGCGGCAGTGGTAGTGGGCAGGGGAACAAGTGAATATCTGTGAAAAAGAGCTTCATAGCTCATCGGATTTCTCCAGGATAAATAAAGATTCTGATTCTGAGTGTGTTAGGGTTTTACATGCCCTTTAGCCAACCCCCACCCCCTCCTTTCCTGCTCACTGAAGTCACCTCGTATTGCCGTACCCAGTAATCGATTACAAATTGATTATTCGATCCAAAGTAATCAGTCATAACTATTACTCAATGTTGGAATTTGCCCACCCCTACCCCACAAAACGGTGCTCAACTTAGGCCACAACAAATTCACGCCACCAAACTGCCACCACCCCTGCTTGCTTTGTTTCCAACTATTTGGCTACCCACTCAGGTGGCGACCTGCTTGAGGGCAGTTATAAATGTGGCCATTGTGCAAGGTCTCTATTTTAATATCCAGTAGGTTCAAGGCAAACAAAACTGTTTTTTGGTAATAGTTATGCATTAGATGGTGGAAGAACCCACGTGTTTAATGTGTAGCGTCTATACACACCTTCGCTGTCGCACGCTTCCAATTTCATCTCGCCGCTCGTCTGGAAAGGGATGAAGCTGGACTCGGCTGCGGGCGAGTCTGGAAAAACCACAAACACTCTGTCAGTACTCGCTTGAAAACGCACACGATAGATTAAGTTCATCATTGTAGTTTCTACCACATACCACATCCACGGCAGTATTCCTCTTCTACTTTGATCACGATCTCGGGCTTGCCGTCAGTGGCAGGTGGAAAGGATGCTTCAGAGCATGTCCTAGGGCCTTCTATAGCTCCCAGCCTCTGTACGGACAGCATCAGCTCCCTGCTCAAGCCGGTGAACAGCGCGAGCAGCACGTCCACCAGGCCTCCCAGAGTCACGTCGCCAGGGGAGGAAGCGGCAGCGTCGTCCCAGCGCGGCGTCCCAGAACCATCGTGGGGCTCGGCGCCCTGCAGGGCCTTCACCACCTGCCGCAGCACGGCGTAGAAGCCGAAGGGCAGGCGGTCGCGCGCCGTGGCCAGCAGCTCGGCCCGCACGAGGCCATCCCCGACGCAGGCGCGCAGGACCCCGTAGTCCCGGATGCCCAGCTCGGAGTCCATGGCCTGGGCCACCTCCTCGTTAACGCCCTGCGCCTCCAGCCACGCCGGGAAGTCCCCGCTAGGCTCCAGCACCGGGGTGGCCACTACACACGCCATCCTAGTGGGATCAGCAGAATAATTATGAACCGTATTTATATAGGCATGCATTAAACCAAATGCAGTGTTGTGTATGAACCGGCCTTTTCCATTTTAAAGCTCACCTCTTTTTGTATCCCCCATTCTCTTCCTCTTCCATTCCCTGGTGCCTCTACTCCTTCCCATCCCTCCCCTACCCTTTTGTGAATCAAGTACCCTCCGTTGCAGTCATTCATTCCTCAACCCTTACACGCCTTTTATCTAAATAATTGCATTTTCACCGTTTTTTTTAAACCATATCAAACGCCTTGAGTGAAGGCATGCTATAAATATAACATTCGGTGACATTACTATTATTTTTATACATCTGCGCTTCCCTCTAGGAATGAATAGTGGAGTGCTCATCTTCAGTAAGAACCCTGAACTAGTAATGGCAATTCCACATTCTCATGGTGGGACCCAATGTCTCCATTTGACAATCACCGCTCACGTCCACAAAGCGGTACCTATTTTTATGGACCTGAATAAGGACGATACAAGCGGCTCGAATCACAGAGCCACCTGTATGTTGGAACTTATTTCGCGCCGTACGTAGCCAACCGAAGTTAAGCATGCTTGAGCTTGTATTATCACAACCATGCACGGCAGCCTGTTATTGGGCTCGTTTAAGGCGGTAGATGCATTCTTGAAAAGTGCCACGTTCAGCAAGGATCTACTGGTTTAATGTCTTACAATGATTACAGGAAATTAATTAATAAAAAAGCTACGCTAATTTGAATAAGATTTACAATTTAAAATCAGCCTGTAGTTATCCCATGGCACGACAAAGAACTGAGATGTAGGTATGCCACGTGCTGTATCATTCCACGTATGTATGCAAAGTATGTTGTCTCTGGTGTAGGCCAATCAGTTTCATGAACGCATATATTATTAGAGCATGTTTGTTTGCATGTTCACCACAAGCACGTGTGGTTATTACGTACCTGTCAACCTATACGGTTTGCCCCGTATTATTGTACAGGGAAATTGAGTTTTCGGGTCCACACGGCGTACGGCCCTTTCAATACGGACAAAAACACAATCATGTCTATTTGTTTGTGTTTCTCCCTTGTGGTGGGACTTTGTAGGGTGAACGCTGAGATTTATAAGGGCACCGGGATGACCAATAAGGTCTGAATTGCTATGTAGTAAGGTAGGCGCTGATAAGGGGTTAGCAGGTATGGGTTCATGCAGTACTTCATTTCTTGCAAAAGGTTTATATTTGGTGTTTGAACATCTTAATACCTATATTCTTGGTTCTTTCGGTAAAGTCACGTAGAAAGAACCAATAATATGAATCCCTGCAGTCACGAAAGCTTTAAATCAATCTTAACACCTGTTTTATTCCCATAAAGGGAAAAACCTATTCTTGTTTTTTCATACATTACGTTGAACTTCTTTTGCACCCTACGCAGCCAACCGCGCTATTTTTGGAGATGTGGCGGGGGGGGGGCAAAAAAAACTAAAACACAAACAAAAAGCAGTTCTAAAGAAATGACATTTCAATATTGACGATTGCAGAGTGCACCTTAGCACCATGCAAAAACAACAAGAATAGGCTGGAGGGCGCTGCTCGAGGTAAATTACTTAAATCGGTCCATAATAAGAGGAGTTGTTTGGGGGTGAGAGCGTGTAAATATGTCGTTAAACCCGCCACCACCCGACACAGCCAATTAGTAAGGGGGTTTGTCACGTAAACAGAACGTGGCCAATTCGTTACTAGCGCAGCAGCGGCAACACCGGTTGTATTGTAGAGCAAATCCACATTTGCAATCTTGAGTACGACGTTTCGCCAGTAATTGCAACTAGCATCATCAGGCTGCCTTGTCCAAAGCGTAATAATTCCGACCTGCAATATAACGCAGCCATGATTTACGTCTTATCTACGTCTTATTTTACACGATCGTCTTTTTTTGTATTTATTTGCTGTTGTAACTTGCTGACCCCCGTGCCCCCACACTGGACATCTGTAAACAACAACAAAGAGCTTGATAGCTCCTCGGATTCCTCCTCTATTCTTAAGTAAAAGATCCAGATTCTCAAATCCGTTCATTGCACCGAGCACAGACGAGGTTACCTTTGTGCGGAGGGAGATCGTGCGGTCGAGCAAAGTTGACGGGTGTAGGCTGCGTTGTGCTTTTTTTACGCTTTACTTACTAAGACTGCAAAAGCCTTTTGAGTTTGTTTCAATGCGCTAATGGATGAGGGCCTTCCACCGCGTCGTCTCGTCCACAACTGCACACCTGTCAACCCACACGTGTTGCCCCGTATTCTTGTAACGGGTAAATTGAGTTAAGGTCCATAGCGGCGATACAGCCGTTTCAATGCGGGCAAAAAAACAACACAAATTAATAAAAAATTGTCTATTCCTCTGTCATTCCCCCCTTTGCGATGGGACTTTGCAGGACGAACGTTGAGATTTATGAGGGCACGGGGTGACCGATAAGGTCTGAATTTGGTCTGTAATGAGGTAGGGCACCGATAAAGGGGGTGGGAGGGAGGTTGACGGGTTGTTTGTCCATACTTCACCACGCCGGTCCACGCGTGATCGCTCTCCCGCCAAAGTAAACTACGCCGCACTCAATCGCCAATCACTTTTTTCCCGCATCGCTGATTCGTGACCCTAGGGGGTGGGGGGTGGGAGGAGTGGGGTTGGGGTCCGTGGCAATTTGACCGTTTCGATTTAAAGCTTTCGTGACTGCAGGGATTCATATTCTTGGAGCTTTCCGTAAAGTCACCACCACGTAGAAGGGAAACAATAAAGTAATAAAAATATACAAAATATAAAACAATAAAATTCTCTCGACGTTTCGACTGCAACACGGGCAACCATCATCAGGTGTGAAAAGCACAGCAAGAAAATTTGCCGAGTGGCGGTTTTTTTCAAATTGTCTTGCTGTGGTTTTCACACCTGATGATGATTGCTGCTTGTGTTGCAATCGAAACGTCGTGATAATTTTGATAGTTTAAATTTGCATTAATTCATTATTTACCTCCTACGTGACTTCACCGAAGGAACCAAGAATATAATTTGACCGTTGTCATATTCACTCTGTCGTGTGTGCGCGCTCACACGCATTGAAAGCATGGGGGGGGGCGGATTTAAACGAGTTTTCAATCTAGGGGGCCGTCCATAAATGACGTCACACGATTTTGGACGATTTTTTTACCCCCCCCCCCCAGTCACACGGCGTTCCAAAAAGTCAGACCCCCCCCCTCAAATATGACGTCACAAAGCTCTGCCCCCCCCCCCTCCAAAAAAACATGCTTCAAATCGCTTTAAACGCTTGTCATTGTAGTGCGTATTTAATGTGGCGCTGCACTCTGATGTTGTAGGAGAAATCATTTATTAAAAAGTCTATTTAATTAATTAGAACGTGTTATCCATATTTATTTAAAGTTGAGCATTTTGATGTGACGTCACACTTCTCCCCCGCCCCCCCCCGTCGTCGTCACACATCGTCACAAATGTCTGACCCCTCCACCCCTCCCTAGGTGCGTGACGTCATTTATGGACGGCCCCTCGATTGCTTAAGAGTTGCATAGCTCCAGTGGCTTCCTAACATCGAAAGGAAGAGCGTTCCAGACGGCCGCAAAGGCGCATCTGAAAGCGCCGCACGATGCGGTGACCGCTGTGTTTGTTTGTTTGTTCGACGGCTGAGCCAAAAGCCGCCACCGCCGCTGTCGAGGATGACCGGAGTTATTTTTGCTCTCGTTTGTGATCTTTGACGAGAGATTAGCAATTTCGATTTAAAGCTTTCGTGACTGCAAGGATTCATCTTCTTTGGTTCTTTCGGTAAAGTCACGTGGAATAAGAATAAAATAATAAATAGATAAAATAAAATAACACAATAAAATTCTCACGACGTTTCGGGCACAACACAAGCAGCCTTCATCAGGTGAAGGGACGAGACTGTCTGGAGGACAGCACTGGAGCAAAAAAGCCACGCTCAGATCGCGACCTTTAAGCTGTGTGAGAAGAAACAAAGCGCCTTGACAAAGGAATTAGCATAGAATTTAGCATTGAAATAGCTGAGTGATTAGCTTGTGACTGGTCACAGAAATGGCTATGTTAAAGTTAAAGCATACACATCCACAGAGGCACCCCTTGACAAAGGAATTAGCATGGAATTTAGCATTGAAATAGCTGAGTGATTAGCTTGTGACTGGTCACAGAAATAGCTATGTTAAAGTCAGAGCATACACATTCACAGAGGCACCTAGTACAAATCAAACAGGAGAATTTAGCATTGAAGTAACTAGGAGAATTAATACCTCTCACACCACGGTTAATGGTATGGTTTACAACATGGAGTATAACAGCGCCTCGCTGCTATCTCTCTCCCCCTCCTCTGTTCCGAGTTATTTCAATGCTAAATTCTCCTAGTTATTTCAATGCTAAATTCTCCGTTATTTTTGTACTAGGTGCCTCTGTGAATGTGTATGCTCTAACTTTAACATAGCCATTTCTGTGACCAGTCACAAGCTAATCACTCAGCTATTTCAATGCTAAATTCTATGCTAATTCCTTTGTCAAGGGGTGCCTCTGTGGATGTGTATGCTCTAACTTTAACATAGCCATTTCTGTGACCAGTCACAAGCTAATCACTCAGCTATTTCAATGTTAAATTCTATGCTAATTCCTTTGTCAAGGCGCTTTGTTTCTTCTCACACAGCTTAAAGGTCGCGATCTGAGCGTGGCTTTTTCGCTCCAGCGCTGTCCTCCAGCCAGTCTCGTCCCTTCACCTGATGAAGGCCGCTTGTGTTGTGGCCGAAACGTCGTGAGAATTTTATTGCGTTATTTTATTTTATCCATTTATTATTTTATTCTCATTCTACGTGACTTTACCGAAAGAACCAAAGGAGAGATCAGCAGCGAGGAATTGTCGCTCAATCATCCCCCCCACCCCCTCCTCCTTCCCCAACCTTGTGTTTTAAAGGGGAAAAAAGAGTTATGGGTGCGTCCTATAATATAACCAATCT